GTCCAGCTCCTCAGGCGACGCGGCGGACTTTTCAATGAAGCGATCCAGGAACGGATTAAGGTCCGCACCCGTGAAGATCGTGTCTGAATCCACTACAATGACCACATCACTTGGCTGCAGCTCTGCATTTTTGATGGCCGCTTCCATGAAATCAAGCTTTGACATAACTCCATCGTTTGGCATCTTGTAGCCGGCCAGCACAACAGGTATCCCGCTTAGGTAGGCTGAGCCTGCAGAAAAGCAAACGGGTTCATCAATCTTATCACCTGTAATGAAGACCAGCGCGCGAGTCCCTGTAGAGCGAACAAACATATCTCGATTTTTGTTTCGGGTGAGCACTGAGGGAACGTAAGGAGACAGACTTGAGTTATCAGCGTAGTATATGCAAAGAAGTATAAAAAGTGTGACAAGGAACCCAAGGATGAGCCCCCGTAAGAGACGACTCTTTAAAAGATCTCTTGTTGACCTCCTTCGCAAACGGCTTGTTAGTAGATTTGCTTTAGATTCCATCTTGATCAACCTTTTCAAGAGTTAAACTTTAATACCTGATAATAAAACGAAAGGAATATGAATTATCTTTACGTCAAAATGGAGCAAAAAGGAGGGTAATAGAAATAAAAAGTAGTTACAGTAAAGTTTTGAAAAGGAAAGAAATAGTAGTCACACATCAGATGTGGATCCCGATTTCCTCGACCGCCTCTCAGTTTCAATGTAAGCTGCTGTTGGATTACTCGCACTTGGCATCACATGCAGGCGTACTTTCCAAAGAGTCCCTAAGTAGTGGCTTGCTTGTTAGGGGGGAAGAACGGAGTCACACTGTGCACAAGTTTGAGAAAGGCAGAGGGGACTCCATCAGGGGCCCGGAACACACCCGGGCTAGTTAATGAGAGGAAATGTAATTGTCCAGCGCACAAGTTACGGAAACCACGGAGACCAAGTGGTTTGGTTTATCAGGGAAAGTTGCACAGGTCACACAGAAAGCGCTCGAAGCACGTGTCCGTCATGCTGAGGACGTTTTGAAGAAACCACCATCCGTCCCCCCCATCAGGCGATGCCAGACGATAAGCAGGTGTCGCAGACCCACGCGTCGTCGCACGCTCTCTGACGACTTCATCCCACATCATGCGCAGCGATCCGTGCACGCCAGCCTGACTGGGGACCGGCGACCCTATCTCGGGGTGTAAAGCGACTGGGGTAATGCTTAGACGGTCCACAACAGGATAAATAAACAAAATCACCCTGAATGTACCTAGACAGGAAGACCGCCTCCGAGTTGTTCCTCCCATGTAAAGTGTCGGTTTCACCCTTCCCGACTGCACTGCTAAAAGGAAATAGAGACGGCACAGGTCGCTGCGATTCAAATCACAAAATAGCTTGCGAGACACACGGCGCCGCGTTGAACTCCAGTAGAATTCCACACCCGCTCAAAGCTCCTCAACAACGTTAAAGGGTAGTATGGACATGATATCGTTTTTCCTCACTTTCCTCGGATCTAATGTTCAACCCCTCACTGTTAGACGCGACTGCCGTCCTTTAATGACCTTTTTATTTTCAGTCCGCACAAACGAAGCCATGAGGACAAAATGAGATGGGGAGCTTCGGTCAGATCATCAAAGCTCACTAACGGCTCACGCTATTGAGGGCAGCACCTGCGAAGTAAATTTAAGACTTTACTTCTAGGCTTTCTACGGTGATGCTTCTTATGCGCAGTGGAAACCAAAGTAGATTCCATATCTTGTCAAATAGAGAATGACCAGAATTATTTTCGTTGAATACGCTTCATTTCTATCTGTCGTTTCCCGACTTTTGATGTCAACTTTATGTACGTATCCTAGTGTGAAAAATTTCCTGACCGCTGTGCCATTCCCTTAATCACTACTGCCTAATGAATACCAAAATATCACTGCATTGAATTCAAATGATTTCCTTGGCTACATAATATACAAACGCTGTTGGAATTCGCTAGTTGAAAGTTGTAACAGTCACTGAGATTTCAAGAAATATTCCCCACTCCGAAAGCTTGAAATGATATGGACTAGATATAGCAGATCAATAAATATTCTACCTAGTTGACCATGCGATCGATGTAGAAATGAATGGAAGTTGCTAAAAAGAAGAGATATACCCTCCCAACGATCGACCAAGGTGCTCTTTTTTTTCTGCTACCACCAGACTGATTTAGTTAACCCATCCCCCTAAGACTTCGACGTAAGCTTCATCCTACTTACAAAAACAGCATGTGAGTGGAAGAGGCCCAACGGCGTGTCCGTAGAATTCCGTTATTTCCCTGAGTAACGGTGAGAACGAACTCCCCATTGTGTTTAATATGATATTGTTGCCGCACCAGCTGAGGTTTGTGTTAGTTCCACAAAAGATCTTCTGCTCGTACTGGATGCTTGAGCGGGATGACGGAACTAACTTTTCGTGTCTTATCGCGAGGCATAGCCTTGCGCATATCTAGTGCATCTTCGTCGTATTTAAAATGCCCTTTTGAGCCTTCACCACGATAGTATGAAAGCACCCTCCGATAGACAATGTAACCGAGCTTCTGATACATGTCTTGAGCAACCGTATTACTCTTCCGTACAAAGAGATCAATAAAGTAAGCGTCGTGGATATTGGTGGTAGCTTCCTCGACCTCCTCCATTAAGCTTACACCGAGCCCCAATCGGCGAAAGGTTGATGCGACTGTCACAGCAGAAACATGGCCGTGGAAATCCTCACCCTTCCCTTCAGCCTTGCCAAGTGCATAGCCCATGGGTAGACCTGTGGTTGGGTGAATGCAAATGCGCTGGTACTCCGGCCAATGCGTCGTGTATTCGCCATAAAACGATGTGCTGTAGGTTTCCGTGAGCTGATCTAGGTTAACATAATTGAAGATTAGTGTATCCATTAAATGCATCGATCGAAAAGTCGCCATGGCTTTTCTTATAAATGCTGGTTGAAGTTCCCGCTATGAATGTTCCTACAATTCTATAAATGTCTTTGAACAACTTAAATGGGATCTGTGCTTCCGATGAAATAAGTTTTCTAATTGTTTATCAGGATTATCAAAGTTCCGACGCTCAAATGAGTTATAGACATCTAAAACGCATGTTGCACAAATATGGTCGCGCAATAGTTGCTCTTTTGTTATTATTTTGAAGAACCGTGTGTTCATTGCACATCAAGGTGCTTAAATGTATTATGCTGAAGAAGAGCCCGCTTATTCACAAAAGACTCGGGTGGTTCACACAATGTGCAGACAAAGGTACCTTTTTCTTGTGGCGTCAGAAACTGCAAATGCTCTCGAAAGGAGTCGCAGTCAACGAAAAGGAGGTCACACAGGGAACAGTACTCAGACTCGGGGTGATTACAACGCGCCTCGCGTAACTCGCATGATCGGTTGCCCATAAACTCAGCATAATCAGACCCAATGATCTGCCGACTCGTCTTGGCATGCACGCCTGAAGGGGTTGGGCTTGTCACAGAATGTTTACTCCTTATGTGGTAATCTCTAGCTTCCTTAGAGGAAAAGTGTCGCGGAGAAGGACAAAAAGCGCACGCATACACCTCCGATGAAGATGCAGATGAAGACGCACCGATTCGGCCCGCTTTCGCACAGCCATAGCCACGTAGGTAACGTTCCAACTTTGCTGCCTCTTTAGGATTCAGGGGGCGGCCAAGACGGCTGGTGTTCAAATGGTAGGGTATCGGTGTGGAATATGTCTGTTCGGGAGGTGGGAGGGAATCCGCAAAACGCCTTGCGAGTTCTTCAACTCTCATCTGAAGTCTATACATGGTAGCAATGTGGTCAAGATCCAAGTAGGGCGAGAAGCTGGCTTCATCATGAGCTGATGATCGGTAGGTACCGTCACCGGGACTCACCGAAGAATATAGAGAACAACCCGAGGTATAAAAGACGATGGAAGGGTGGACAAGTGGCATGCATTTCCACTTCTCCTCCTCCTCGCTTTTGGCCCCTTGAACTATAAGTGCGTACATATGGAAGTCGTCCACCATCAATCCATTATCGCTGGAACTTAGAAAATCCAAATCTGGACTTTCTGCAATACGATTCCCGTAAAAGTATTCGTAAATACGGCACCAGGTTTCGAATTGCGGCGCGGCAACTAGACCATCTTCCTTGCCGGCGTGGGAGTTGCGCCAGCTTCGGATGACATTATAAATTGCTGGTGCATTCTTGAAGTCAGCATGATAGACGAAGTAATACTGAACCATCCACTTGTAAGGAAATCTCGCGTCACTTTGACCTCGCGCGTGCGCATAGTCTGGAAACTCTTCCCCAAGCAAGGGAACGGCGGCGACGCACACAAACCCGCCCCGAGCTGCGGCCTCGAGCAGCCCCCACCGTAGAGGCTGATCATCACACAGAGAGAGCACAACTTCCCGAATAGGAAAAGGGCCGGGCACCGGCAAGGGTGGAAGAGTGCGTATAGACGCGAAGGTATGTGAGAGCAACGATCGATGACGGTACAGATCCTCTATCCCAATGTGCGGATTATTAAAGATGATCAATTGCGGACAAAAGTTCAAGCACTTGTACGTGGAACCCAAAGATTCCTGGATCTTTGTGGCATTGACCCCACCAACGTACTCGACGCTGATACGTTTCTTCTCATTAAAGTATTTCATTATTGGCAAGGACTCGGGATACTTTTCCATGACAACTTCTATTGAGTCGAAGGACGTGGTCAAAACAAAGCAAGTGGGCTTCCCCTTTGATGTTGGAGCGGTTCCGGTGGTATCACTATCATGGGTGTCGTCGTTAGAAGCTACTGTAGACACTCCAAATGGTTTGCATCGGTGAAATAGCTTAGATTTAGTTAGCTTCTTTACAAGGCTATAAGTAAATGTGAAATTACCTTCACCCAGCAGTAGAACATCAAATGAGTTTCTCTGCGTCATCAAGTGTCAGCACCCGTTCCCGTCCACCATCTACCTCAACATGTTGAAAGTGAACAAAAGGGAAGAATAACCGCTGATCATAGGTAAATTAATAGGTAAGACGAATCATCATCACTTTAGCCTTGGGATGTAGGCCATTCTGAACTCTTTTGCCGCCGGATATATCAAATTTCAAACCGTGATAGTTTACATAGATGAAAAAAAAGTAAAAACATATATGTGTATGCTAATTTATACTTGTGATGTGATAAACTTCACACGGAAATCGTTCACCACTTATTTAGCAGCAGAGTAATCGTTCGGCAGGTTCACCTTCTCAAAATGAACACTACTGGGCCCAAGTGACCTAGAATAGGGTTTTGTGATACAAGGTAAGAAGCTATTCGATTTTTTACTCGCGCTTCGGTTGGTCTCCCCTTGAGTGTTGGCTACCAAATTCAATAGTTGTTTCCTCCTATTTTCAGAGTCTAATTTCATCGCCGAACGCGCCTTTTCATGATGCGCTCGCCAGCGATCATATAAAAGCATAATGTATAGGTGGAAGGCATTACCATTACAGGCGAGCTTTCGCGCAAGCATTCGTGTTCGGATATTGGTTGCAACACGTCGAAGTAGAAGGTGCACAGCTCGCTTCCGTCGAGCTTCATCTTCTTGACGCAGATGGCGGACGGCAGAAAGGAATGACGGGTCAACATGACCTGCGCTTGCGATAGAATGGGCAGCGGAGGCAACATGCAATAGGTGCTTCTCTACAAACTCTCTGAACGAGTTACCGAATATACTACTGACAGAAAGGGCAAAGTTGTGTCTAACCTGCTGCTGTGTTTGGCGAGCGGTGGTGTTAAGCCTATAAGAATAGACCGTTGGCCGAATTTGATCTATGGACTGCGACTTGGTCGACTGAAACCGCCTCAAGAGTTCAAGAATGTTTATTCTAGATTCTGCTAGCGTTCCATACAGGGGCTGGCCGGGTAGTTTTCTGTCTATGCAAGACTTTTCATTCTCAAATCTGCCATGCATAAGAGGCCGCCATAGACTGTCCTTGAAATGTGAAAATCCCTTTAAGAAAAGTCCAGCAGATTGGCATTGCTCAAGGGTCAGACTAGAGCTCCTCAAACGAGACCATCGAACACCTGCCCTGCCCGAAGTGGCTTCATGCTCCTGTAATGCCGAATCACGTTGATCCCTTCCCCTGGTAAGCAAATCAGTCCACTGTTTTAAATACGTAGTTTCGTTAGGACACAAGATATCTTTGATAAAGTAGGAGTTCTTAGTCGCATCCCCAAAGTTGGGTCTCGCGCTCGAAGCATTCGAAGGACTTTGTAATAACGACTGAAGAAATTTCTTCTTCTGATGAGAGGTTACTTCACCATGCCCCAGCTCAGCTGTCGACCCCTGAATATCCTGATGCATGTGCGGCGATCTTGCAGAGAGATTCCCTAGAGCACCTTGGGAGTCATAACCTAATGAGCTGACATTAACCTCTCCTGAGGGCGTGGCATAGCTTTCGGTGGAATTCACAACGGCAAGCCGTATCTGTTGCATCATCCAATCGAGATCACTCGTGTCTTTGGTTACTTCTTTTGCCTCTAATTTAATACCATGCTCAGACAAGATTGAAAAAACACGCTCCTTGGCAAGATCTCTAAGAGCCGCTTTACTCATGGAGTCAAACGCAGCCTCAACTTCTGATTTTGCGATGGTGTCTTCGTTTGTTTTAAACTCCATCATCCGGAAAATGTCGCCTAGAATCAATTGAAGGGCATTAAATGCTTCATTAGTTGTTACACAGAGTTCAGAAAAGGACTGCGTAAGAAACCCAAGATCCTTGTGAATAGCTCGACCATCCGAACGAAGGCCCTGAAGGAAGTGTAAATACGACTGTGCTGATTCCTTATCAATCGGATTTGGAATAATAGCTTCTTTATCCATTTTCTTATGGGCCTGTCGACCCTCTTGGTCTTTTAGACCACAACCGATCGCGACTATATCCTGATGAGAAGACCCGTTGAAAGATGTTTGAGAAGCCATGTATGGCATCTTCCAGGAGCTTTGAGAAGAGATGAATTTGCTTGCGGGGCTTGACAGAGGCTGCTCAATGGAGGGGTCGGATAAGGCATTAAATGAGACAAGAGGCGCATTTCTCGCTTCCGTACCGCTACCACAAGGAGAGATGGGTTTGCCTGCAGGACTCGATAGAAGCTGCTTGAAGGGCGGGTTGGGCGAGATTCCTGCGGTGGCAAAGGACACCTTCTTCGCTTCGGTACCGCTACCACAAGGAGAAATGGGTCTGTTTGCAGGGCTGGAAAGGGGCTGATTGAAGGTCGGGTCGGGCGAGATTCCTGCGGAGACAAACGACACCTTCTTCGCTTCCGTACCGCTACGACAGGGAGTGATGGGCTTGCCTACAGGACTTGATAGAGACTGCTTGAAGGATGGGTCGGAGGTGGTCTCAACACAGACGAGAGACATCTTCTTGGTTTCACTACAACTACTTCGGGAAGTGATGAATTTGGTTGAATCACTTAATAGAGTCTGCTTGAAGGGTGGGTCAGACGAAGTCTCCACGCAAAGAAGAGACCCCCCCTTGGTGTCGTTGCAGCTCTCACGAAGAGTGATAGGTTTGCTTTCAGGACTCGATGAAGGTTGCTCGAACGGTGCGTCGTCTGAATTCCCTTCGAAGGCAAAAGACACCTTAGGAACTGGAATGGGAGAACTTATCTCTTGTGCAGAAAACGGCAACACAGATGACTGAGTACCAGGTGCAACGCTGCAAAAGGGATCCAAGCCACTAGACTGATATGCGCGCTGATGAAAGGACCCACCTCCCGAAGGTGCCATGGATTCGTTGTAGGAGGAGGTCTCATCTTGTTTCACATCTTTCGGCGTTGATATTGAGGAAGGGTTAATGAATTCTTCGGTCGCTATCAAGGCAGGCTCTAACAAAGTTGCGAGTTTGGGGTCTGGTATCGGCTGTGGCAGCGCTGCATGTGCATTATCAACTGCGTTTGAGGGCGCAATACTCGGTGCGGAGACTGAGTGATCTGCCACACACATCACGGCTGCTGCTCGGCGTTTTTTCTCGAGTTGTAGCTTCTTTCGGAGACGGGAAATGTGGAGGTATTCTCTCTTGAGGCACTCCGCCCGTGAAAGTTGTGCCATCGCTAATATCCCTTTGGACAGAGACGTCCACGCCCGGTTGACCTTGATAACAGGTTCTGGGTTGGTAGTGGTTCTGGTACTGCTAGGGTTACGCGGCGCGAGGGCACGTGGCGAGATGCTCCTGGGATCGTCCTCTTTGTGGGCTCGCACATTTTTTTTCGTTTTAAGAGGCGTTTCTGGAAGTGCTTTGACATCCGTCCCTTGACGTGATACCGAAGTGGTAGTAGTTTCTACCGGTCCCTCCTTTTTCTTGTTCCTCTTCTTCGACACACTTCTGTCGTTTTGCGGATCTACTCGAGCGTTAGCGGAACTACTGTAGTGGGCAGAAAAGGCAGTTCGGTTGGATGTCGCGACAGGCGTGGTCTCTGACGCAAGAGTCCCAGTCGTGATTGGTGGGGTCGCAAAAGGCTGATTGTCCTGCGGTGCATACGAGACACTAACGGGAAGGTGAGCTTTGAGTTCCTCCAAAGCATTTTGATTTTTGCTATATCCTCGGTAGAGGGTGAAAACACCAGGAGAGGGCAGAACAAACGCGTCATCAAACTCGCCAAGCCGAACGCTGCTAGCGTCGTCAAAAAAGGGTGGCCGTTCAGCGTCATGGTCAAGCATGCCCATGGCATTGTCAACTTCCTTTTCCAGACGCTGCCTCCACGACTCGATAGACCGCTTTAACGATGCCCAGATTGCGGAGGCGGGAGTCTCCTGAAATAAGTACGGTAGTCGATGTTCATCACTCCGTATGATCTCGCTCACCAGTTCATCTGTTTGTTGATCGTGTGCGTCGGAAGTGTGGCTTGCATTGAGTAAATTCATGAACCGCTGTACCGAAGCTGAATCCTTCACATTAGCCTTCACATCGTTCTCGTCGATGGCGATGCCTAAAAAACCATCCTTGATGTTCAGTTTAGCCCTGAGCTCCATGTTTTCCCGTTCAAGAAGCTTGTTAGCACCAATAGCAAGCTTAAAGTCCTTGACCAATTCCTTCTCGTCAGCGTTCCTGCCCCCCAATTCATCAACTTCGCGTTGCATTTGTCGTACCTGAAGGACAAGCATGCGATTTTTGCTGTCCAACGCTTGAGTTTTACGCTCCTTTAGCTGCAGCAAATTGATTAATCCACTTAGCTCGCTTTGTAATTCGGCCATACCACCTTCCACTTTACAGATTCGATCCGCCTGGGCGTTGTTGACATCACTGAGGGCCGCGGACTTCTTCTTCATGGCCTCTAGTACGTCGGGGTTTGCGGCAACATTAGGTGACTGGCCGTAAACAAATTTTCGCACCACCTCCTCCACCTTTTTCCACGTGTCCCAGTCACCCCAGTCGGTTGTGTCCACTTCAGCCGTGTTGAAAAGCAGCTCATCGATTCGATCACGATTACTTTGAAATAAGTCATGGTCAATGATTTTCTTCATCTCGTGCAGCTCGTCTGCCTGTGCCTTTAGCAGTGCGTAATTAGAGTAAATATCTTCAAAATGTGCGTTACGTTGGTCCGGTGTGCTGCGATACTCAAGTGAAGCTATCATACGGTTCGCAGCGGCCAGACCATCCTCGGCCCGCGCTATGGCTTTACTCGTCATTTGTTGTACAAGGCTATACTAGGCGTGTTAATACCTTATAGATTGACGACCAAAGAGGGTTAAAAACATGAGAGTATGGAACCAATTGCTAAACAAGGGCACAAAGATATTTCGGTCAAGAACACAACCAAACATCACGAAGGGAACCCACTTGAAAGAAGGAATTGAATTTTATAAAACCCATGACCATAATGTAAGCAACGTGTCTACTCTATCGATATATTTGGAAAATCTTTTTCGGGAGTTAAAAATGCTCCACCAGTTCAATACATTGGTTCTGGAGCTTTTTTCAAAATCGAGGCATCCTGTTAAGAGCACTCCGGCGCTCTTTGATAAGTTCAGCCTCCGTGCGCTCAACATACTCTATTAAAAGGCGCCGATTGTTGGCCGTGACACCCCGCTTGGCAGTTACGGTATGACACCGAGTGGTTCCTTTGGAACAGGACATTGAAAGAAATCTAATAAGAGCTAGGCACAAGAGCATTTTGGCATGTGAGAATTGCCGCTTGGCGTATTGAAGGGGTGTTATTGGCGAAACAAAGGAAAATTCATCCTTCAATAAACGAATAAAGGCCCTCCCCAGTGCCACATCATTACCTTCTATGACAAACCAATGATACTTCTTCATTAACTCCGCCGTAGCGCTGGCAAAATGGGTGAAAATAAATCGAATAAAGGTGCTATACACAAGCGGGCTGCCACTGAATACGTCAGCTTCCGTTATAGTGCCCCAGGATGCAAAGCCCATCTTGGTGAGCTTCCTGTGCAATTCAATAAAGATTGCTTTTTCTTGCATTCGTAGTCTATGTTGAAATGTATCTTAGAAGATCTAAAAAATGGAAGTAAAAACAATAAAGAAACAATAATCATATACTCTCTAATGAAGATAAAAACGATGCGGTTAATTTATTCATAACGCAATCATTAGTCCTGTTGAAGCCCATACACTTTTATAAATAAAAGTATAAATAGCGACCTTTCGTGGGCAAACAATTTCTGAATTCGTAAACGTGAAACAAGTCAACAAGAAACTGCCTTTGAAGAGTCTCATTCCCCAAAAATTAGCACCAACAATGCATTTTGACCGTAAGGTATATACGAAAGTGAATACCAAAACAGCGCCAGGTATTGCAAAAGTCCACAGAAGGCGCAAAGGAAAAACGACTTGAAACTGAGAGCCAGCACCAGGGACAGCATTAACGACGCAAAATACATCAACGTGGCACCCCTCCGGCGTTCGTCCATCATGGAACGCAACTGAGTTACTGGGCCCATTAAAATCATGGTGCTAAACATTGACATAATGCTACCGATAGTAGAAAGGACGGTGTACTTCCAGTATACTCCCATTCCCAAGGCAAACCACCCCATAATATTGGAGAAAAATCCAAGAGACATGAAAATGAGGAAACCTTGGATTCGCTGCGTCCACGAGAGACCCTTGATTAGTTGGCCTTCGTCTTGCAGCAACAGGTTGGGGTCTAACTCCCCCTCTTGAGGCAACATTTGATTATATGCGCCAAGTCACAGTATTGTGGGAATAGTAAAAAATAGCGATGGCAATAGAAATAATAATGATAAAAATAAATATTGTTACCTGGAAAAGAAAATTCTATGCAAGTGAAATTTTAAGGAATGGGAGAAAAAGTAGAAATACACACGAATAGCTAACAATTCCCTATTTTCCGCCCCGCTATTAACTGTATCCCGTCGTAACACAGAACACGTCGTTAAGGACGAGTATACTCTTATCCATCCATTTTACATGATTCTTGTGCTTCCCAGATGGTGGCTATTTGAGGAATTAAAGGTACATTTTCGTTTTCCATGAAACTTCCTTTTGGGACCATATCTTGTCCATATAGGATTCTGAGAACCCTTTCAGACGGCCCTTTTCCACGGTGAAAGGTAACGTCCACAGCATATTCTCCACTTTTGCCTCAAATGTGCTAACATCAGAAGTATTTGAGGTCATAAAAATATCAATGGATAGGAAGATAACAGACTCCGGATGCTTATTTGTGGGACGTGAGAGAACTAATCGAAAAGTATCCTTTTTCGCAGGATGGGGAGAAATGGCGAAGCTATAACTAAGGTCTGCAGCACGAAAAGCCTCAGAAAGAGCCTCCATCTGCGTGTTTTCGTCTCTGTAAGCTACCTTAATGTTCTTGATATTCCTAAGAGTTGAAGAGAAACTTCATGTTGTAAAGCATCAACTATAAGATCCGTATCAAGGAGCCATATGACATTCATTACATAAACAAAGGAAGGGACTAACTGTCCTTACACACAAAAAACATATATATACTTCGAGAGAGAAGGATAGGCAAATCGATAGATATATGTTCAAAGAATTGGGATACAAAAAAGCAGAAATTTAAACGAATATTATACTAAAAAACAAAGTTTATATCAAAGCAGGAAAAAAATAAGAAGAAAATGATCCCGCTGGTTTAACATTCGTTAGTCAGGAATGCAGATCAAAAGAAACACGGCAAGGAAAAGACATCCATCAAAATGAGAATGGCCGATTGGGAACCTTCCTATTAACTCGGGACCCTAAAATGCCATCCTTTTTTTGAAGAAAAGTCCTTGCGTGAAAGTACAGACCCTTTGAGGGACCAGTCTAGGCGGCGCTTCTCGACTTTGGTGAACACAAGACAAATCTTTTTCGATATAGTGTAGGTAATATCGATGCCTATTTGACGTTTGAGGGTTATGCCTGCGTTGAGCATTGTGTTGGAGCCAAATTCCTGTGCCGTAGCCATCAATAATCGTGAAAGCGTCACTGCACGGTCGTTGTACTCCCCCTCAAGCGATAGATCCTCGGATATCGAGCCTTCCGCCAGTAACGCCCCAAATACGAAGGCAGCCTGATGTGAAAGCGGGTGGGATACAGATGAACAGAGGGCTAAACCACGGAAGAACGATACTAAGCTTGTGCCTGATAGGGACTCTTGCAACGCCTTCTGGGAAAGAGAGTCGGATAACCTCTCGTGATCAGAGAATAGAGCAAGCAAAATTTTCTGTAAAACCTTAAACCGCTCCTCGCCAATTTGATAAGAAAAACATCGAGGGTTTTTAATAAGGTAATACGGAGAAACTAGAAGCAACTCTGGGTGACGCAGTATTTCGGTACTCATCTCATTCGCAGCCTGATCCAAAATTCTCGCCATGTCAAAGATACAATACGCGTAAACTACGTCTTGATAGAAACTGGCGATACTACGCGCTATCTGCACAGGTGATGCGATCTGGTCCACGGATGGATTGAGAAAATCAAATTCAGTCGACCCCTCATTTGCATGTTCACTAGAATGGAGTGTCTTTGGTAAATTGAATTTACTTTTTATATTTACTCGGAGTTGTCTGATACGCTTCATCATTTCCTCCAAAATTGAGGGGACCTTAGCTATCATAAATAAAGAAAATTAGAAATCGGGAAAATAAAAAGTTTAATAAGACCGGAAACGAGATACATACCAGCGTAGATATCCAAAGAGACGTCTATATATATATCAATACGTATATACCGATTGTGTATGCATAAACCAGTTTTCACTTAGTATATTTAGCTTGACAGGAAGAGTCGATAGAGTTCGATCATCATAAAAGTCCATAAATTAGCACCTCCTTTGTTGCTTAAAGAAAAATATTCACTTTTACTTGTGGAAACAAGATTTACAATACCATTATAAAGACTAACCCTGGAGCTAAAGGTAAACTTATAGCCAAATAATTGTGTGATGGAAGCAATTACACATTGCTCTCCGAATAGAAACACAATGAATAGGTTCCGGGTTTGTTTTTTTATTATTCCTAATTTTACGCATTTATTAATTTCACAATAATGATAACAACATGTTTCATCAACGTAAAAATTTAAATACACAAATCGAACTGCCTTTAGTGTCCTGAATGCTGACGGAGAACCGCAACTGCCTCATTCACCTTCGCCATTAGAGCGTTGTTGTCCGACAGTACATCCAAAATCTCTGTGGTTCCCATTTCAAGGAGCATACCCGTAATTTTAGCCGCCTGCTGTGGGACCTGTTCAACAATCCTACTGTAGAGCGTCTCCCCAAGGAAGTTCTTCCGCTCTTCGGAGCTCATCATGCTCAGCTGGTTTACATCAATCCCCGCCCCCGTGGTCCCAGCCCCGACGCCAGCTCCAACTCCAACTCCAGCTCCAGCAGCAGCGGACGGGGCTGGGGCTGTCGGCAGCGGCATCTGCGGCTGTGCTTGCGGCGGTAGGTAGTTGTGCTGCACAGGCATCGGCCGCATCGGCGGCATCGGACGCCGCATCATTCCCGGTCCATGCATGAACGGCGGCATGCCCATGTTCGTGTTCATGTACATGGAATTACCCATTGGGTACTGCTGGGGCCATTGCTGCTGGCCGTACATGCCCATGGGGGAGGGCATCGGCCGCTGATGTTTCAGCGCCGAGTGACGCTGTTGAAGAATGCGCATGCGCATGTCTTTCTGCTCCGCCTGGCTAACATACAGTGGCCTCTTACCTTGAGTAAGCATTTTCCCATTCAACTCACGTATGGCCGCCAATGCAGATTCCTTTTCGTTAAAGCACACAAATGCGAAACCCCTGAAAATACCGTTGGAATCTCTCATGAGCGCGCATGACTCAATTTGCCCAAATGGGGCAAACAGTTTCTCTAATTCTTCTTGAGTGATGTCGTCTGCTAAGTGTTTCACATAGAGGTTTCGGCCTTGACTCTGATATATAGCAGGGAACTTTGGTTTAGCGCGAGCTCGTTCATTTTTCGTAAGTGCACGGCACACCATCAGTGGCTGCTCCGGATCTGAAATCTCGCACTCGGTTTCGTTGTTAAGCTCTTCAATCGCCTTAACCGCATCCTCATGGGTTTCAAAGTTGGCCAAGGCAAACTTAGTGCTGTGCCTGGGCTCGCCAGAGAGAAAGAACGATGTTACCTTCCCAAACTTCTCAAAAACCTTTTTGACATCCTCCTCCGTGGCGGACTTTATGATGTTGTTTGCGTATACGTTTGTAAAAGTTTTTTCACGCTGAGCGTCGCGCTCCGCTTTTCGCATAAATGGTGCAACGTTGGCATCCAATTCCCCGATCCTTCGACCATTCATCTGAAGCGCAGACTTCGCGCCTTCAGGGGTTTCAAACTGAACAAATCCATAGCCCTTGCTGTTGCCGTCCTTGTCCAGCGCAACCTTGCAAGAAAGGATGCTACCAAACTCGGAAAATAGCTTATGGAGCGCTTTTGCGTTAATCGAAGGACTTAAATTTGTGATGCATACGTTGTTCAAAGCACTTTTCCGCATCATGGGGTCGCGCATCGAAAACATTATACGAATCTGACGTCCAGGAATGATATCGGTATAATTCAGTAGATTTAACGCTTTTTCAGCGTCTGCCGCATTTGAAAAATTGATGTACGCGTACCCGAGAGACTTTTGTGTGGTAATATCCCGACATACCCTTAAGGAGACCACCGGGGCAACACTGTTGAAGAGAGAGCTGAGGGTATCTTCCGGGTATTGGAGATCCAAAGGGATATCCCCAACATACAGCGAAGTTCGTTGACTGGGTACAAAGGACATTTTACCCCCTGACCTGAATGCGTGTGAGTGGACTTACGCGGGTGCAAGTAATTTATAGAGGGATATTCTATTGAATTCAATAAAGATATACACGTTTTTTTTCCACTTTTCGATGTATGAAAATATAAAACCCAAGAAATAATGATATATGCATAAACGCATATACGATTATCGTGAGTTCAGCGTATGATAATAAGACGAGAAAGTAAATTTAAGGATTTGAGCATATCGACATTTTCACAAATAGACTTACAACATATAAATAAATGTAGTTTTTAATTTCGTTAAGAACGCGGCTATGCATAAGTGTGTCTTTTATCAATGAAAAGGATTTTCATTTAGTGTTACTCAAGCGCTAACCTTTTAGTATTTCTCATTTTTTTCATCTTTTCTTTTCCCCCCATCACGATACTATTTGTTCTCCTGGTCCAAAAGTTTAGCGTCTTCATCAGGAATAAATGAAGCCAAATCGCCTGTTTCTTCACTACAGAGTTCGTCAAGAAACGAAAGGTCGTCGTCGAAGAACTCAAACTCCTCATTATCTGAGGGACCTTTATCAGGTGCATACATTCGGCATGATGCTGTAGGAAGAGCCCATTTGAGTAGTTGCTTCGCAACAGGAAACTGAAAACGGCGCATCATCTTATTTCGCTTAAATCTGATTCTTTAATATACTCTTTTATGATTGTGAATAGTGCTTAAGTGAATATCGCCCTTGGATGAAAGATAGACTAATCTGAATTTAAATCAAAGTAGTTAGAAGCAAACCATACCCAATTCTCGTTTGGCGTACCATGTGAAGCCGTCAAAAACAATAAGGATCATTAGTTCAATAACCAAATGTTGAAAAAAGTTACCCCACTCTATGCATCTATTGTTTACTATTTAGTCAGCACACAGAGGGCCACCATCCTCTATTCTCTAGACCACTTTTGCGCTCGCTGCAATGCAAGGCATGTCTACTTACAGTATCGATATCCCGATCAAAGAAACAGTTGCACAAGGGGCAAGAATATGCAGAATGAGGACGTGAGTAAAATATAGAGCAGTTGGCCTTGCGCTTCTTGCCCTCAATGATGAAGGCATACCCGTTCAAGCGTTCCTGATACCACGCACCATCAAAGAAAAAAGGTTCTTTAACTCTCCAACTTCTCTGTCCTTGCATGACTTGTCGTTTAATTTCTTTCAAGTAAGAAAAAAATTCTTTCTTTTCTTACCAAACAAACAAATTACCCGGTAATACAAGGGAAAAGCGGAGCTTAACCATCATTGGTTATTGTTCACCACAGTTAAAAGCATACGTTAGAAAAGTTAACGTTAAGTTGCTTTCTTGTTGGTTGCCGTCAACTGTAACTTCAACCACTAACAGCATTAGATTAACTTATGCAAGATATAGAACTGAATATCATGTATCAACAAAGAAGGTTTCATAGATGAAAAAAACTTGCATGTGGGTAGCATGATAAAGGTGCGTGGTGTAGAACCGACGTGACACAACCCACGGTATTTTGCAGACCAGATGATAAGTACAATCATGTGAAAAAATATTCCCAAGTCCCACACCTAAAAAAGCAGCGCATACAAGGCATACAATACAAGAAAAACACCTATTATGACATACATGATGTGGCGGTACCCATAGCGGCCCATAACCCCCCGTAGGTTCGTAATGGAGGTCCCCACTCCCGCTCGGGCCGTTACGAAGGTCCCACTGAGGCTGCTTAGCAGGCGATTTTGCTCCTGCACCTCCGTGTTGAGGGTGCCTGCCATGGAGTTCATATGCCGGACACTGTGGCTGAGGGCGTCTAGCATGGCCTCATTTTCACGATGCATCTGCTCCTCCATGTGCAGCTTGGTACTGCCACGAGTATCGGTATCATGAGGATTCTCACGAAGCTTGCTCCCATAAAGATTAGATCGCATTTGAGTAGTGTGTTAACTCAGCTATTGCCCTTTTCTTATGCTTGAACTAAAAAAACAACCCAAAGGCTGGCATGAAACAGTGGAACATTAAACCGCATGTCTGATCTTTTGTTCGATGCACATGAAAAGCATACCTCCAGCTCTTATTTAAATAATTTTTTGTGTGCTTTAAATCGCTTCCAACTCAAATGCATATAGAGTCGTGACTTCGTGAAACACATTGGATAAAAACAAGCGATAGTCATAAATATATGTACTCTCTTCACTGCGACCGTCTGATTTATTATTCCCTAATTTGTCATACTTTATGACTTCATCATCCGACGACAACCAATATTGCGTCTCTTCATCCGCCGTTTTTTGTCATGCTCCATTCGGATATCAATTCGATAAGGTCTTTTAGCCTTTGACCCCATGCCACCTATAAATGTTCGAGCAAAGAACCCTCGAAAGAATGAAATACTTCGAGAAAACATGGTGGCTACTGTTCTAATATTAAATAGAATAATAGTTTGCTTCACTAAAATATTCACCTAAGAAAAGTAGGGAGAGTAAAATAAAACATTACATGCGTTACTGCATGAGAACAAAATCCTAATATAAGATCAGGAAACTGCATAGCTATGTGTTGTGCTACAATTGCGATGCTCAGATTCCACCAAGTGTTAGGATTATTAAACATTATAGGAAAAATACATATATATTTAGAGATGCTAATAATATCCCCCGAAGTATACCAATTATCCTCTTTGTTTTTATGTAGCCAATATTGAGGAAGGTTTTCCAGAGCTAATAAACATGAAAAATTGAATAATCTACGTGAATCAGCTTGGCTAAACCTTCAAGGTTTACCCCTTACATAGTCTAAAACATTCTAATTCTTTATACGTGGCGAAGACAAGACATAAAAGTAGATCTCAACAAAAATGGATCCTACCAGGAGGAATGAAAACACCAATACAGCATACCGAGGTACTTTGGACCTCCTTTTTTCCGCCTCCTGACGGCGTTGTTGCTTCTCCATTTCACTCAACCGACGAATCGGTTGATTGGCACGGGCGCGCATCTTAGCAATAGGACTAGCAGGCATTTTTTATTCAGCTGAAAATTTTAAGCTTTACTAAAATAGTTATGCAAGTACGTAGAACCAACTATGTATGTGCCTCTAGAAAAAAAAATCATTTGAAGAATAAAATGCAGCCATACTCCACATTACCACCTATGGCCACTGACATCAAAGAGAAAAACAGACTAGCTCAACAATCATCTTGTTCACATTTCCATCAGTTTAGAGCGGTTATTGAGTTCTCATGCAAGATATATCGTCAATGGTGAACTGCTTTATTGTCGCGAGTAGACTTCTCTGAAATGACGAAGGTCGAACCACTTTGATTTCTCCTTAAGCATAGCGTCTTTTCTTTCCTGTATTTCTGGGTGGATGCGCATCTGCTTTGACGAGTCAACACGAAAATATAGATAAAACGGCAACGCAAATGGCACTCGCTTCGCGTAATCCAGTATCTGCCTCACACACCTTTCCTCAATTTCCTGACTCCACCAGAAGCAAGCTTCGGGATGCACAAGACAAGAAATATCCAACACGGGCTGCATGAGCTGCTTTGAAATATCCTCACTAAATGAGTGGCGCTGGATCTGCCTAAAGGAGCTCTTGATAACCACACTTGGAGCAAAAGGGAGAATCATAGGTACGCCGTCAGCATACTTCTGTTGCAAAGGGGGATGGAACCATGGCCGCTCCTCGCCATCTGCCATCATCATGCGTTGCTCCACAATCACCTTTTCCTCCGCAGCGTCAGAGCCCTCGCATGAGTTTCCCCATTCCGTTGTGAAGGAACTAGAAAAGGACTGTGGGGAGTCCGGCTCGCCCACCTCCCCCGGACGAAGATCCAAAGGCTGAGGGGCGCGCTCTACCGCATTTGTTTCGAGCATTTCCCATAGTATCTGCTTAACAACGGCCGCGTGCAGCTCCCACTCCCCGGCAGCCTCTTCAATTTGCGGAGACACCCTCGGGTCGCAGGGATGCACGCGAAACTCGTAGCCAATGATCGACACCATGAAGTTGGGGCTCTCGGGGGTCTGCCAAATTCGTGGGTTTAGGTCCTCCTGCAACCTCCCCACAATGCTAAAGTTGGGTGAACTGCGTACATCTACATAGATGCCATCACGTTTTGCCTCACGAAGGAAAGAACGGTTAGCAATCTGCAGTGCTGCTGTATTAGCTCGCTGCTTTCCCTCAAAATAGACATCACACGTATGACCGTTCTTTCCACACCGCCAGCCATGCTCTGCATGACCGTGATTCATGCAAATATTTGTGGAGTAGCGCGTGCTGGAGCGACAGAGAACACCGCATAGCTTGACCTCGAGAATTGTCAACAACACAGCTCTCTCCGCGTGGTTAACTTTTATATGCCGAAAAAGCTCAAGCAGCTCCTCTCGACTCAGGAGCTTCAGCTCGTGCCAATCAATTCCAAGTTCCTTTAGCTTTTCGAAATAGTTGGAAAGGTTGCTATTCATTTTGTACTGTCTCCTGCCCACGCAACCACTTAGTTTCTCAAGGATAAGCTGCAATGAAAGAAAACGATTTTTATCGTTGACGACGTCGAAATGCACGCTGAGAGACTTTTTGTGATACATCGAATAGCGCGGGTGGTATAAAAGTGAAGAGAGTGGAACGACATCGCGAACCGGGACCTTTGAAACCTTATGAAGTAGGAGACAGCATCTCATTGATTTCTTGAGCGTTCTATTGTTTCGCTTGTAACGAGCCCCTTCTCTCTGTCCAATTACAAAGACGATTTTGGTCTATGACAAAATGAATTCCGACGCAGTGATTAATGAAAAGGTGACAGGGAAAACCAGAGGGCGACACTCTTTAAGAAATTACATATTCAGCCACTGGATATACATATGGCCACAACAAGCTTGGCTTCCATATGAGTTCAATGACAACGCGTCTGAACCAACTCTGCCGAAGAACATGTCAAGAAATAATTTCAAGTTTTGATCGCAACACCACACGCTACAGTGCATTCCGTAAAAATAGAGGTCTCAACCTTTCATATTAGCCCTCTGCTTTACCACAGGCTTACAAAAGACGCATACTTGGTGTAGATCATCGAATCTTTGAAAAAAAAATCTCTTACGTTAAGATGTGAATATTCAAATAAATAAAATGTGCTATTAAACTGTGATCAAGTGAACAGAAATTAACAACGAAAATAGACGTTCTTTTTTTCGTGTCTCTCTCACTTTAGATACACCTGATGCCACCTTGCTAAAAGAGTTTCTTGAAAGTGGAAGCGTCACATCCTCTTTATAATTTCGGCAAAGATGACAATCATCCGAGGTGAACTATTTCCCCCATATAAAAAGGTAGCAACACCTTTATGTGAGATCATGCACTCTTCCGCTTTACCGTGCGCATGGTTGTCTTCCCGTTAAAGTTGGGCTTACGAATTCGAATAGATTTTGGTGTTACTGTGATCAACTCGTCATCGGTGACCCATGAAGCGCAGTCTTCAAAGGTAAAACGCGCCGCTTTGTATCCTGAACGTCTGCTTTTGGACTTGTCATTCGCGTTGGCGCGCATCCCACCCAGCTGGTCATTGTGTTTACAAGCATTTAAACCCAGATTTTGCCACAGTGTCTTTGTGTTCTCACCGATGATCTGCCCATAGTAGACATGGTCTCCAGGCAGAACAAAGAAATTCCCCTGTGAGGACAGCCCCGACAGAGCCCAATCGGTGATCTCTCCATTTTCGACTGAAATAAGTGCACCGGTTTCGCGCGCATTTTCCGAAGCCGCTAGTGGCTTAAAGGAGTCAAAGTGGTGGTTCAGGACGCCATCCCCTCCAGTCATGGTATGAAACTTGAGGGGAACACGCGCCATGAGGCGCACTGGCATCACACACTCCAGGACTACGCGACCATCCGAAACTTGTTGGATTTCACCGATCTCAGCCATCTTCATACTTAGAAATGAAACCATCTCAGACATGAGATTATCCTTGAACTCAAGCGTCAGGTGCTCGTATGGCTCGCACTCCACCCCGTCGATGACCTTGGTAATGATTTTCGGGGCCTGAATTTCGAATTCATACCCCTCACGACGCATGTCCTCAATAATGACGGAAAGGTGAAGCGGACCACGCCCCTGCATCGTAATTTGCGGTGTATCCAGTCCACTAAGTTGCAGGGCAGTGTTGACCATCGCCTCCCTCTCCAGCCGCTGCTGAAGAAACCGAATTCGTCCCATGTTTTCATCGGCCTCCTTCCCTTTCCATGGCGCCTCGCTCTCCTGAAGGATGAGACTATACGTGGGCTCGTCGGGCTTTCGGTATGGAAACAACTTTACCTTGCCCTCAGAACCTATGGTACAACCAATCTTGAGTGGAATTTTCTGTTGGATCGGCTCCTGTAGTGTCAACGCACAAATATCGCCAAATCTGGCGGAAGTAACGCTGTCGGTGTGCACACCCCGGTATAACTCAATTTTACTGACGAGCGCGTTTACTTGCTTCTCCTCCAGGGCGACAGTGACGACATCACCGACCGTGATTGTGCCCTGGAAAATGCGACCGATCGCAATTTTCTCGGCACCGCCCTTGCCCATACCAACTTGTGCCACTAACATCTGAAGTTCTTCATCACTTTCAGCCTTTGGAGGTGGCACAACATCGAAAATCGTCTGAAAAAGCGGATACAGCGTCCCACCCCTTTGCGGTGTTCTGCCCATGTAGCCGGAGCGACCAGATCCATACATGAAGCACAAATCCAACTGCGAGTCGTCGGTAGCACAGTCCAAGAACAAATCCTGGACAGCCTCTTCCGTCTTCTCGATGCAGCTGTCATCTTTGTCAATTTTGTTAATACACACAATAGGTGTTAGATTAAGTCCGAGAGCCTTTCGCAGAACGTAGCGGGTGCCAGGGCGAATGCCTTCCTTGGCATCCACAAGAAGAATAAACCCCTCCACCATCTGAAGCGCGCGCTCAACCTCGCCAGAGAAGTCCAAATGTCCAGGAGTGTCCACAATATTAATCCGTTTCGGTTCAGCACTGTCATTCTCAGTTAAAAGTACCGCTGTATTCTTTGCCAGGATGGTGATGCCACGCTCGCGCTCTTGGTCTTTGCTGTCCATCACACGATTATGCGCGTTTTCCACTGTGCCGGACTGGCTAAGCATGCTATCCACCAGCGTAGTCTTGCCGTGGTCGACGTGCGCGATGATAGCAACGTTACGTGTGTTCTCATTGGTATGTATGAAACGGGTGAGCGAGGTGCATATCGAAAAAGGAAAGCGCAAAAGACGTCTCATTAATAAATACACTCAAACCCTTTCTAATGAGTAAAAAGAAGACCTAGATGAATCGATAAGAATTTTGTCTTGACAAAACAGAGGAAACAGAAATCACAGCCAATAATGGAACTTTCACAGATGCGATACTGTCGCTACTGTGGTGATGGCAATTCGCGCCATTTCTTCAACAGCGAACAAGTGGAACGCCCCGGATGAGGCGGGAGTACACATGAGATAAGTTGTGCTATGGCACCTTCTTTTTAGATGTTTTATATTTAAAACAAGAGGAACAACGACAAGTACTGTAATCAGTACTCTAAATCAACCAATGTGTGGTCAACAAGAAGCTCTTTTACGGGAACAACTTCACGAGTTCCGTCAGGCCACGTGCGGCTCACTATCATTGGGATCTTGCCCTGAAGAAGCTCCATCTTAGCCATCATGACAGGGTCTACCGAAGACGCATAGGGGTCCTGACAGCGCTCTGCAATGGTGTGAACATCCAGACCAGACTCAGTCTCATTAGAAAACTTAATCGCAGTTCCACTCACAATTTCACGTGCCCTTTCTCCGACAATACGAGCGATCTCGAACTTGGTTAGGTACAGGCTACTTTTGCGTTGATCACGGGGTGTTATAAGAAGTGGAGAAGCTGACGCTTCTTTGATATGTTTAAGTCCCAAAATCTCGGATTGCATTTCTTTACGATTAACACTATAAAAATATTATTGTTATGTCGTGCATAAGGGATTACCTTTGAATGCGAATAAAAAAAAACAGTGACCACAGGAGAAAACATACAGCACATGAACGTCATGATTGCAGCGTCTTCTGAAACTCTTATTGATGAAAATGTTACTACACTAATGATTTTTTTTAGTGGACTCATATGGTCGAGGCATTCACACAACGCCATAATATCTTTGCTAAGCACAACATGCCTAGCTACATTCTCACACAGACGCAAGGCGAGTAAAAAAAATGGATACGATTGGGAAATTCATTAGGGACTAACCCCACTCATGAATTCGAAAGAAAAAAAAGGGGAAACCATCTACTCAAAGAGGTTTCAGGTTTCTAAACACCGGGCAACAACGCAGATACACTATCTACTGCGGAAGAAAGAGCGAATTCATCTAGAGGAGATAGAGTCATGGGTAAAAAATTCTTGTGGAGCCCAGACCCCTTCTGGCCAGAATCTCTTCCCATCATTGACAAGCATCGCTGGCAATGTGGCAGTATAGTTTTCGCCAGGTGGCGAATGGCCCATGGCCATGAATTATTCTCTTTAATCCTTCTCGCATCCACACAATCCTCCGTAAGAATGAGTTTATCGCTGTTATCGTAAATAAGCGTTCTCGCTCCCGCCGCTGAACGATCCTTGATCATGAAGACACGAAAAAAGTTGAGCGACACGATGAGGGGGTCAATAAACTCTGACTTACCGCTCTCAATGTGTTGCAGAAAGTTTCGGATTGCATTCACAATGCCGCACGGCAAATCGCTTAGCAAAGCAGTCGGGACCTCCGTTTGCTTCGAATTCGGAGAAAAATCCCACTCCTTTAATACACTATCTAGAAGCACTCTTGCAACGGACCCAAACGGGGTCAGCACGAGCAGCGTCATGTGGGTTCGAATGCGGGCCCGTTCCTCAAGGCATTTGAGGATTTCAAGCGTTAAGGAGCGACTAAGCGTCCGATGAATTGCGTTTGGGCACATGACTGAAATGCTCACGAGCTGCTTAAGTATTTCAAAAAAAATTCGGTACCGCTCTATGCGATAACCACACGGTTCCTCCGCGCGGTCAAAGGGATTCGCAAGATCTCGCTGTTCGGCCGGAAATTCTATGCAATATTTCGGAATGCACCGAATACAGTGCCCTAAGAAGAGAAGCACGCCAAGTAAGGCCGCTGCAGAAGAGCACTTCAGGGAAACGGCAATCGAACTGCTAATCGTGAAGAAGAAAGAAAGAGGCGAACTAGAGATCAACAGTGGCACCTCTTTCTTTGAAGTTATTAAAGAGGTTAATAGGTAAAAAAGCCCGAGATTCACCATTATGGAGATCCACTCGTTAGAGGGCTGGTTGCCATATTCTTCCAAGTTCGGTTCCGATAAATCCCAGAGCTGAAGCTTCTCTAATGCTTGTTCTCGTTCTTGCCAAAGCGTTAAAGTCTTTGAGATGGATGGCTTATTACATTTTTCCCAATCGTTTAAGTAGTAGTGATCATCGTTGTGTTCAAAAGGAGGGTTGTCCATTTCGTCGGAAAGGAGTTGTAATAGTGCCTCGGCTGGGCTCTCCACCCCTAAAACTTTGCATAGAAGTTGAAATATCCTCTCCTGAAGCACAGCACGTTCAGTTGAGGAGACCACAAATCCGTTGGAGGGCAGCTCAGCTTCCTTTAAAAAACCGTTTAAGGGTGTTTTACCGTTAATTCGTCTAAGCTCATCTCGAATTCTCTCCGAAATAGGGATACCCCCAATGGTTAAGGCACGACAGAGAGATATCGAGCTCCACATCGTCCCATACAGAGCAACCGCACAGCGTGCACATACGTCATGTAATGTTGAAGAGTGCGCCATATCCTGCAGCAAATTTGCGATGGAAAGATAAAGAGAATTAATGTTATCAACGCGATGATAGTTTAGATGCGCTGTAGATTCTGTCGTAGTTTGGCTCTTTCCGGAGTCCGCGCCTTGGGAAGCATCGATGTGGGGACTAAACAATGGATTGCTGTCAAGTCTAGCGCAGTCAATACCTGTCTCCAGGGTCTGCGGATTAGCATCCTTAACTACCAGGCTTGGAAGGATGTGCTCTTCCAACATATCAATAATATCCCTAACCCATGGCTTCATAGAGAGTAAGAGAGAGTTCCGCGCGTGCAGCATCCCCTTCTGAGAGGAGGGAAGTTCCTTCATTGTATTAAGCCGTCGGCGCATGTTTCCGAACAATACCTGACGATAGGAATTCAAGAGTAATACAAAATAGCTATGCATTGCATACGGATTAACTGAGCCAGAAAGTGCAATCAGGATCGACAAAACTTCTCTGGGATCGACCGTGGTAGGGCCAAGCGGGACCATAGTGGTATCATGAGGCCAGAGGGAGAGAACTTCAGCTATTTTAATTTGTTGATCAGCAGACTCCGATGACCACAGATACGTAGGCAACTTACTGAGATGACCAATCGAAAATTCACGCCAATCCTCCTCAGAAAGCGTAAAGAGAAGTTGTAAGGTAATACTCACGTCTAGAGAATCTTCATCAGATCCCTGAGGCTGCATCACCTCGTATTGTTCACGCCCTTTTACTTTATATCACACTACCTTTTGTAGCGGAAAAATGAGTAACCACAGTGAATAAAGCAGCAAAAAGGATTAATATATATTTTTTGAGTACATGCATCATAAAGAAGATTACAGGTCGCTTTGTTGGAAAAATTGCAAAAAGCTATATATCGTCAAAGTACCTCAGACAAGCTCAGTCAGATTCCTTGATTGAACTAATTCTAAAGTTATCAAAAACTTTGCGGATTTAGATTGACACCTTTTGGAAGAACGTAGGTCATTTCATGCTGCAGCTTTTCCAATGCGCTAGTAAGGGCCTCGTTGTGTAATTTTAGCCGCTCATTCTCACTGAGCGTGTTCGAGTTGCCTTGCTGGAAAGAGTGAGTCTGTTGATCCTGAAGTAAATCATGTTGAGTCTGAAGGGCAACAATCTTCTCTTCAAGAGATCTAAGCTTCTCTTTATGCACCAAAGCATCATTCTTTATCTGATTCCGCTGGATGTCAACAACTTTTTTCAATTCCATGTTCTGCCCCTCAAGGCCTGTGATTCGTGCTTTGCATGCCTCCTTAAGATTCGTGATGTGAGATGCAATCGTATTAGCAAGCTTTTCAATCGCATAATACTCAGATCCTGATTGCCGTTCAGGCTCGCTGACTCTATTTGAAGGTCGCACCAAGGCTATACATTCCACAATATCCTGAAGTGCATCATTTAGTCTTGCTAAGACTCTTCTTCTGTCAGCTTCCTCGCCCTCAGTATAAAATCTTGAGGTTTGCGTGCTGGCACATGAAGTTGCGGCAGGGCGTAGAGGCAGGACGACATGACTGTCCAAACGGGATAAATCACTATCAATTCTATGACTATCACTGATATTTCTACCACTACATTCAAGCTGCGATTGCAATCTCTCAAGTGCCAAGGACAAATTAGCGTTACGCGCGGCAGCGGCCTCTACTTCTAACGTCAAGAGTAAAATATCCGCATCGGACATGGCTTAGCATATTATTTTGTCAGAATCAGTTGTAAAACCAGAAAGACACGGTGGGTGGTAAAAGTGAACATGAAATCGATGCATAAGGCCCCACTCGCTTCTTTGGACAAAGAAGAAACATCGGAACAAAAGAAAAGTGCGACACAAGGATGAGGAGAGGAAGGGGATGAATTTATCGTCAGCCAAAGAAGGAGTTAGGGCTGCTACCAAGTGCAGCTACGTGAAGACACAAAAGAAGGAACCCTCATCAAAAAAAAAAGAGCATGTCAAGCCCTAGTCAATGACGGACTACATGATCTGAGAGAACTGATTATAAACTGTTTTCCGCACCTTAAACATCTCTGGCGTTGCAATGGAGGAGAGTGTAAGGGTGCCGCCTGCATCTTTCCGAACACACACACCTTCATCAAAGACTAACATGGGTGCCTTGCGGTGAAAATCACTCATTAAACCCACATTGCGCCGCGCCGTCTCACGCAACTGAGAGAGGTTGATATTACCAACAAAAAACGACCCACTCGCTAAACCCTGTGCTTCACGCATTTCAGCACTTTCCTGAATTCTGGAAGGGGGTACCTCCGTCAGCACCAGCGTTGTATTTCCTTCCAGACGCACCCGCTGAGCTTCTGGTTCGTCTGAATCAGCTGCCAAGGATATGTTCGAGGCGCTTTGCAGGAGACCGTCGATCCAGCCAACTTCCCACACGCCCTTGGAATTGGTCTCCTGGACGGGACACAAAATGTTCGGCAACTGTTGGGTCACTTTTGAGTCCAGCAGAATGGAGTAAGAAAGCACTTGAGTAGCTAATTCAAGAGCAACATCACCCGACTGTGGAATGAAGACGCTATCCCCACACTTTAAACTCTTCTCATTTCGGCAGAACTGAGAAAGCTGCTGCCAGTCATCATGTGTTCCACGTATCGTAACTACTTTTTTGGCAAAGTTGAACTTAGATACAAAGAGACTTCTCATAACAGACTGATCTGGCAATCCGGAAAGGTCAGAATAGAGCATCTTGCAGGTGCGCCGGCATGTTTGGCTGACTTGAAAGACCTTTGAAGGTATGTTAGCCTCTCTCTGTGCATCGTTTCGCATGTGCAGCTCTTCTGGTCCCTTGTCACTAGAAATTCTTGCGGGGGCCCTTTTTTGAAGAACCATCTGCTCCTCATCGCTCACAGGAAGGCCGTAGGCAACATTCTCGCCACGCATGAGGGCAGCACTTAGTGTATTAGTCATTTCAAGCGCCGGGAAATTGAGATGTTTTGAGGAAAAATTGATATAAGATGGTAACACCAGTCCTAGGATACTGCTAGTGGACGTTTTCTCACCCTGCTCGACCTTGTCCCTGGCTAATGCCGTATCCTGTGTGGAATCCGTGTCGTCATCGCTGAGGTCATCATCATCGCCCTCTTTTTCTGGGTACTCATTGACCTTGAAATTCCCCTCCGCCTCGAGCTGAGTTCGCCTCTCCATTAATTCACGCTCCTGCTGGACGTAGTACTCTTCCAGCTCTTCTTTATCTAACCGAGTACGCTTAATAAATGAAAAGGTCAGTTCCTTATCTTTAGGACACTGTGCAACGGCATGCGCATTTGTTCCAGGCCGCGGGGGCTCCGTGAAAACGACGAGATTCTCACTGCCCTGTGAATCGGCAACAAACAGATGGGCCAGAAGCTCTGCTGAAATCCCGTAGTCCAGCGTTGGTCCGTCGGCGACACAAACCTTGGGCCCCGCAATGCCGATCACATCGTTGGCAGTACTACACGCAATAACGCTGGAAAAGAGTGCCTGGTCACCGAGAACGATGTTTTCCTGCAACACCTCGGTCATAGTGGTTGCCTTGTCCATGATCTCCTGAGACTGAAGCGCAGCGAGGATGACTTTGTACCGATCACCGCCCCTCTCTAGAAGTAGCTTAGATATAATACTGACAATTTCGAGGCCGCGTCCTGCAACAGAACAAGGAATCAGAACAGTACCACCACTTCGAAGGGTGTGCTGAATATCACGAAAGAGACCCTTTAGTTGCTCTTCGTACTTGATGCCAGAAGAGACGCCTGTGTGCATCGGGTAGCTTCCAATGCAGACGATATTGGAGGTCGTTGGGACGTTAAAACGCTTTAGCACGTAAGATGGCTTTAAGGAAAAATCTGGGCAGTAAAAGATTTCATCGATTTGGTATCGAATGATCCAACTGTAACCTCCCAGCATGCGGCCAGCGAAGACCGCATGACAATTAACAAGCGCGTTTTTCTTTCCAACAGACACCTTACCGCCATAAGGTTCCCGTGTGCTCCGAAAGGCGCTATAGATACTATCGACAGACATCACAAAACTTTCCTCAACTCCTCCGTTCACCGAGAATGTGTGTGCATTCGGAAACTGATACAAAAAAGTATGGAGAATGCTATGTAACCCAATCTTCGCAGTAGAGTTCGAGGCCGAGACAAAGACACCAGGGGGGAGGTGCTCCATAACATAGGGCAGAGCTCCGCAAGACGCAATATCCGGCGACGAGAGCAGCACCGCGTCAATACCACTTAGGTATGGGCGAAGTGTTTCAAGGTAGATTGGGCTGAAGCTATCATCCCATCCGCAGTCAAGAAGAATCTTTGTGCCATCAATTTCAAGAAGAAACGCATAAGGAGAGGCGGCAGATGACGTTTTAGCTGCGATACCTTCGTAAATAGAAGTGAACTGAATCGAGCTTGCTGAAGCGCGGAGCATTGCAACACAAAAGGAAGAAGTTAACTTTTTTAACACCCTATGGCCTTCAAAGAATACCTTACTATTACTGTTTATGATTTTAACTACACATTTTAAGACACATTTATATGCATATATAAGACGAAATAGGTAAGAAATGAGGAAGAACAAAATAAGTTAGAGAGAAGAGGAGCAATCGAAAAAAAAGCTTTACATTGTACTGTACAAGCATCACAATGTGAAGCTCAGAAAAAAAAAGGAGCATGGAACTAATTATGAAAGATTGAGAGGAAATCAAACGTTGACTGCGCAAGCCACTAGCCTTCGTAGTTGTGAGCACAACGCTTAGATATGTGAAAAAGTATAGAAGAACATGAGAAACAGAGGAAAAAGGAACGATATCTCAAGAAGCTCGACCAAAGAAGTTAACCATCTGTCTCTCAAGTCTGAAAAGGTAAGGAATGAACAAGGATATACCGCGCACGTCTACGTCGATATTCCTTTCATAAGAGCTTTTAATCAACTGCATAGAGGTAGTTACCATGTATTGGAACTAGAGTGTCAGATGTTTTGATCCCTTCTTCACTAGCGCCAAAGTACCTTCTCAGAGCTGCGGAAGCAGCCCTGATTGCCGCCTCATTCTTTCGAGTGGCGCTCGCGACGGCAAGGCAATATCTATGCTGTGAGTCAAGCTCCAAACCGACACGGCAATGCCACTCACCATTAAGCAAAGTATTATCAAGCTTCAAAGGCAGACCAAAAGCTTTCCCACACAGACTCTGCAATTCTATCACCATTCGTGCATGCTTCAACACAAGGCTGTCTGTCTGGACCACCTCGACCCGCGAACCAATCTCCTTACTAATGTTTTGACAAAGCATCTGAAGGGCTGATATAAAATTGCTGGCCTGAACCGTCTCCATCAAAACTTCTTTCTCTTTGGATGCTATCAAAAAGTCGACTTTAAATGCATTTTTGGAAAATCTATTATAGTGAACCATAAGCTTCGAGACGCAACGTGCATCACTCGACGCAAGCTCGATCTCTGTAGCTACGACGTTTACCAGTTCAGCGAGCTTAGACTGTCCGCACACAACAAGTTCAAACTGAGATGTAAAGAGCGGGAGCCTAGTGAGGGGGCTAAACCATGGCAAGATATGTTCCACATGCACGTTATGGCAGCATTGAATGATAGCATTGGTAAGCGATGAACAGCATTCCTGACCAAGAGGTATGCAAGTGTCAGCTTGTGCCCCAACAACGTTTGGAAGCTTTAGGTCCTCCTCCGTTGTGTCTAAAAGAAAAGCGTTATCCTCATTTTTGAGTCCGGCAGACTCTCCTGCGCGACCCCATAACTCGACTAAGTTGCCAAAGGTGCGATTGCTCATACGTATTTGCACTCCTACTCCATAGAGCTTACTGACTGCCGTTAAAACGGGCTCTATTATTTTGTCTTCCACAAACACCCTTGGAAGGGTTCTGATATGTGCCATTATCGAGTCGACCGTCTCCTGTGCGATTTTAGACTCGATAAAGATCACTTCAGCATCAGAGCATTGACTTTCGGTCATTTTTTTGAGCCAACCGTAGTACATCTGGAGAAGAGCGCGCACTTGAAAACGGGATGTGGATACAGATAGAAGCGTACGACAAGATGTAGAAGTGCTTTCTACTACATTGATCTCGGCGGTGTCAGTCGTATCTACACTGCGGGCTTGGGGGTCCACAGCTGCGTAAAGAGACGCCCTCCAGAGGGCCCTTTTCTCATCCCATTGCACCACCTCGTGTACATGAAACCTCGTGGTAGCCGGCGAGGGACTGGTGAGGTCCACCTTAGCAAGGTGCTGTTCGTACGCCGTGCTGAGACGCCTGAACAACGACAACAGGGATGGCTCCGATTGAGAGGGGACGGCAATCAGATCCTGTACTGGTTGCGACTTTATTCGGCTCAGAAATGGATCGGCGCACTGCAACTTGTTGAGGCCTTCATCTTCTGAAGCTAGTATAATCTTAAAATCGACGCCTTCACATGAACTAGGGTTGCCATCAGCATCAATGAGGTTATCAAGCTGCGCATAAGCGATCCCTTGCGCACAGAGCGTTCTGAAGCGCCTGGCAAGCGCGCTTGCGATAGCCTTCAGCTCGCTTCTCTTCTTCTTGATATCGTACGCGACGGCGACCAGCTCGCTATCATCCCCATTCCAAAATCTTAGAGAGGTCCTCCAACACATGAGCCGCGCGTGCACTCCAATATCATTGTAGGTTTTGTTGGGTTGTAGACAACTAAAGACTATTTCAAACCGCTTGCCTTCACGATTCAATGCCCACTCTAGCAGCTTACTTAAACCATGAGTCAGGTGTGGGACCGCAGTGGTGTGCTGCAGTTGCTTTGCTTGTTCCATTAACTCCTTAATTTTGGGGTGAAACGCAAGCTGCTCTCTAAAGATTGTAGTGAAGTGATTCTCAAGGATCAATACACAGGCGAGGCGTTCAACCAGCTTCCTGCCGTTGGCAACACAAGAACCCAGCACAATCTTGTGTTCGGAAGACTCCATAGAAGTATTTTGCACGGTATCGCGGCCAGTATCTATGAGGTGTGCAGGGAGCTTTACAACCACATGACATTGGAAGAGGGAACCTGTTAGCACTCGCGTATCGAAGAAGATATAGTCCCCCGAGATACCATAGTGATAGTTCAACAGATGGCGCAGCACTTGTTTCAGCCTTATATGTTGATCCGGAAGTATTACCACGAGTGGCGAGTTCGCAATGTGCTGTGCTATCTTTGCGGCACGTACAGCATCCGTCTTGATTGCTGCTGCCTCAGCTGCCGCAAAAAGAAGACTCAACGTGAACTGTCGATTTGCATGCGTCGAGGCTAGTTGGTGCTTACCATCCTGAATGATTATCTTCACCCGCTCCTCGCCCTCTTGGATATCATAGTTCAACGAAATCTTCAACAAAGTGCACGTCGTACGTAGAATTCCAAGATACAACGAAAGCAAAGATTTGGACGACATTTGATCTTTGTTGAAGTCCTCAGGTGGCAGTGGGAGCCCCGCCACTGAGCAGGCTTGCCGTAGGGCCCTTTTCAAAGTACCAAAATACCCAACACCGATGGAGTCACCCTTAAACTTCAAGAGAGCTGATGCCTCCTCCGCTGAAAGAGTACTCCCGGGTATGGCTTCCTTTAGATACAAGCTAATAGTGTGCGTTTTATTGCCCTGCACATCTTCACCCTCAGAATGATCAATGCACAAATGAAGCCTTGGAAAAATTTTCTTAAAGTAGAGCCTAATGTTTTTCATATCAGCTTTGATTGAAGAAAAGTCCATAACGGTGAATTTATCTGTCTGGAAGGGGTTCTTCTTATTAATTGCATTTGTTTTTCGCACTTCATGGGAACTGGTTGAGTATTTTTCACCGATTGAGTGATGGAACGCAGTGACATGGCTTTTGTAAGGCTCAATGGAGGTTGAGAATTTCGGAATCTCATTCTGCGTGGTTAAATCTAAACTGGTGAATCCGGGTGATCCACTTGCACCGATGGACAAGTGAAGGGAATCGCTAAGATATGCGCCTTTGTGCTCAAAACTACTCGAAACTTCCACATGCTCCTGGTTGATTACACCGTTCTCATCGCAAGAGCTAATGGTCTGCAATCGCCGCTGAGTCAATACGGTTAAAATTGGAAAGCAGTGTGAAAAAGTTGTCAAGTGTCTTTGCATCACCAGAGCTTCTACACGGATTAAAATTTACTCTATTGTTTTGTGTATCAATAGAAAATATATAATCAAAGTGATCCCTTTTCTGCCTAGAACAAATTATAATACCAGGAAAGCGGACAGAAATGAAAACTAATGAGACAAGTATATTGTATTATTTTTCTTCAGGCTAATTATCGGATAGGCATAGGGAAAGGAAGGAAAGCATTACCCACAACGGCATCAACCTTTTTTGTTTTCTTTTTCTATTACCCTTTCCCAAATGATTTGAACTGTACTCGCTGCTTAAAAGAAATAACTACCAGGTCAGAGCAATTGGTATGGACAATATCTGTGATGGAGAACGATCCACACAAAATAAGATAACCAAAATACTACAAAATGTGTACAATATATTCTGAATGACATTCTTAAAACTTTCCAGGACTTGGTGGCGTAAAAATTATCTGATAACCATGACTCTTCGAAATATTAATACCACAAAGAAAAATTGACTTATATGGGTATGGGGACAAGTGCCGTGATACTGTAGGCGTGCAAGCTACTATGTAAAGACATGCGTTTTTGTATTGCTTTAGCAGTTTCTTGTAAAAATTCGTCACGGGAGCGACACGTTCCATGAAGAATAGGTTGCTCCTTCCGTCCATCCAACTCGACGCAGTAGTCCCACGACCATACAAAACAAGAAAAGTGTAGGTCAATACTGGTGTCGATGGGTTGATTCTCTGTATCACCTTCGAAGGCGGTTTCGGAATGAATAGCCGTTAGAAGTTTGTTGTCCTTCACAAGGTTCCCTATCTTCTTAGGCCTGTCTCGCAGCTCAAGGTATTGGTTCTCTCTATACAACTGCGCCAAAAGACTGCCTTCCTTGACACCGCCAATGGAATCATAGTTGTTAAGCAGAGCGTGCAACAGAGCGACAGTACCACAGCTATTCACCACCTCCTGTTTCATGAAAAAAATTGGAGCACTTTTCATGAGGTTCTCCACCTCCTGTTCCTGCTCCTTAGACACTTTCCAGAGGCTCGATTCAGATTTGGGTGTGATTGGGTAAACCAGTAAAACTGCGAAAGCTTGCCCAGGAACCATCGAAAGCAACTCCTCGGATACACCATAAACATCGACAAAATGGAGCATCGGTCTCTCGACCCCCAGGCGTTTAATGTATTGGTTCAAAACATCAGGATTGTTCTCAAGAGGAAAAAGTGACATTGAAGTTTTGAAGTAAATTATGGAGGAAAACAAGGAAGAGTGTTGTAACTGTGCAAAATAATAAAATAATTATCCTTGTGGCCAGAATAACAAAATTGAAAATTGGTAGTCAAGAAAAGTGGCATCAGTGGAAGTAGAATGACAGACTCCTTTGTAGAAGATTATGTTTTGCTATTCGGTACATTCAGCACCAACCAAAACTCTTCAGTATCCAATAAAATCACTTAATCCATAACAAAAGATGTGTAATAAGCTTTGTAGTATATACATGTCATGCTCACAAAACAGCTCACGGGCTGCGATAAATACGAAAACTGCAACGAATACATTTCTATTTGGCTACTCCCTCTGAGTACTACCTATTTTCATTCCTCCTCCCCATCCCATAATATGTTCCAAGCCAAGTAAATAACTATGAAAAGACGATTAAAAGGTGTATAAGTCCCCGTCACGTACCTTTGATATTGAAATTCTTATTAAAATACTTCCAAATCAGGGTTACTCTGTAACTGAACCTTGTTAACGTCAAGTATCGATTCACACATAGGGCAAGAAGATTTTTCACACAGTCGCTTCACCAAGGCAGAGTAAATGGCTGGAAAACCACAGCATGGTGCGGTAGTGAAATCGTTTTTGACGATGTGTTTGCCTGTCACTATACAAAACGGTAGCGTGTTTCGACACGCACCACAGTCTAGCTCACATTCTGGAACTGGCTGATCACAGAAAGGGCACGGCTTAGTGCTTTCTACAGGATCCACCGCATCTTCCTTCCCACCACGTCGAACAATGCTCTCAATTTTTCGGCGATTCTTTTCTGGAAGCTGCGTGCGATACTCCTCGTTTTGTATCAAGAGGCAAGACAGTTGGAAGGCGGAATGGGCGAAATTAGATTTTGCGCACTGTAAGACGGTGGACGCAATGATGGTCGCGGCGTGACTCTGAAACTTCTGAATGTTGTGAGCTACGCGCAGCAACATTCGACTTGCCGTTGCCCCATCGTGCATGACCCCGATCAGGTCCTTAACGATAATATATGAATGGAGAATCATCAGCGCACGGCGCAAATCACTTGGTACGCGTATACTTTTCTCGCGCAGAATGCGACAGGCTTCAATGAGTGTCTTGTGAGCGGCTTTGTAGTTGCCCATTTCTTGCTCTCGGGCAGCGATAATGACGCATGTCTTCGATGCCTTCTCATAGCAGCCTAGTGCCATGTAGAGTCTAAAGATGTACGATGGGTCCTTGGGCTGACCGTCTGTGTCACCCATCAAGAAATCGATGAGCTTGCTCGTCAGCGCGTCGCTACGAGCCTTACCCACAACCTCTATTGCCTTTTCAATATCTTCCGGTTGTCCAGACTCGATGTATTTCTTTAAAGCTAGTGTGGAATTTCCAGATAAACGATAAAAAACTGCAGCTTGACCAGGCTTCCTCATGTCATCGTAGTAGCTGGCTAGAAGGTTGAAGTCACCCTGATTTGCAACAGGCGCGACCCCATCCTTGAGAACAACCTGATTCAGTAAGGCGTTCTCATAGTTACTCAAGCAGCCGTGCTCTTTGGCGAGCTCAAAGGCCTCCTTCATGCACTTGGCGACGACTAGAAACTCAACTGCAGAGGCAAACTCATTTCTGCTTTGGCACATTCTTGCCACTAGCGCCGCGGCGTTTGTAGATCGTGTCTGTCGAACGATAACGTACGCCCCTTGTAAATCGTTAAGCTTTTGGACTTTGATGCGCACAACGTTGTCCCAGTCCTCAGCTTGCATGTACGCTCGCTCCGCCTCACCGAAGGATCCTTCTATCTCCTTCGCATTGGCGTACCGGCCTATAATACCTGGGGACTTTATCTGGGGAAGCAGCAGCCCTGCTGCCTTGAGGTTATTGCACTTTTCAATGTAGAGCACAGCGGCCTGCTCGACCTCGCCAGCGCGCTCGTAGAGCTTCGCAGCCGCCTCAAAGCGTTTATTTTCCTCGCACAGCTTTGCACACTCGTAAGAGAAAGCCTTGTCATTGATATCAAGTGCAATGGGCATACCTTCATCAAGCCTACCGGTGCGCAAGTTGCATCGAGCAACACCCTTGAGGCATTCTATATTATGCTTGCGCACCTCTTCCTGGGCTACGGATAGCTCCGTGCTCGCATGCCCGGTAGGGATGCTTCGATTGCCGCTCTTAAACATCTGAAGGGCTTTTATGTAATCGCCGCGGTACTCTAGCTGTTGGGCATACTCCTTCGAAATGACTGGAATCTCGTTAGGTGCTAATTCCTTTGCCAGCGCGAGAGCTTGCTCCCAGTGCATCAAGTCACGCCGCATCTCTAACGCACGCAAGGGTTGGGAGGAGTGAAGAAATGACTTCTGCGCGTCGTCAAAGGCTCCCATGATCATAGAAATATGGCCGATAAGGAGATTCTTCTCTTGTATATGTTTAATCTTTTCGAGGTAGAGCACTAAGCTTGGTTGCGACAGCTGCCGGTAGATACGAATGGCGAGGTCAACGTCTAGGAAGTGCAATGCTCTGACCACAAGCTCATCGGCTTCTTGCAGTGTCGAAATATTCTGCGAACACCAGCGAAGACGGTTCAGGCAGAAGTTATTGTAGAATGCAGTAGTATTGGGGCCACGTGCGTTAATCTCCCGGTGTGTTTCAAGCTCTACCTTGCCAATGATTCCAGATTTAGATTGATAAGCAACTATACCGCCAAACAGACTGATCGGCACAGAATCACTCGGCATCGGAGTGGTAAGGGGCTTGTCCTTATTATCTCGTTCTGATATGGATTCACAATTCGGCCCATGCTTACTGTGAGGACTGTAAACGAAAGTGATAAAATTTTTGTGATTGTATGCTACAAACACTGTTGGATCAGTCCAGTCCCACAAAATGGATTCGCATGATTTGTCATAACCTTGAACTCCAAAGGCGACCTCCGTGACAAGGTTTAGCAGCAGCAGCTCGTTATGGCTATCAATGTACACCATCCGCGTGCAGGAAGGGTTGACGAAGCCCTGCTTGAGGCCTGAGCGCAGCTCGTACTCGGATACTATCTGCATTTTTGGCAACGCCACGACGTAAACCTTGGTGCTCGACGCGCAGACAAAAAGCGCCTCAGAAAGGCCAATAACAGAAATTTTTTGAGTTGAATCAGGCGGGAAATTCATCAAGGCACCATTCGGGTCACGAATCACATGCAGGCGGACGCGTCCATCGTAGAGCACCGCGGCGAACGTAGAGTTTACCTTCAAGTCTGTGATGCAGCCTGGATATTCTACTGAGCGAATAAACTTGGAGTCGGATGATTCAGGCTTCGCCCTGTCTCGCATTGCTGGGAGGTTTTTGCTAGGATCCGGAGGCTCCAACTGCGAGGATTGCGGCGCATAGTAATCGTGGTAGTGGGCCGCATTGTTGACATACACCGCAAGGGTTCCCATCCCAGCAGCCATGCGTTGGGGGTCTGTCTCAATTGGCACAGTGCACAAGATATTGTTTGCGTGAATATCCCTGACACCCACTACCTGAGATGATGTAAAATAAAACAAAAGATTTGCCCATGACGTGCTCACATCGCGTACTCTCATACTATAAATATAAAAGTTTCCATTGTCCGTCACCATTGCGATTGATTGTCCGTCAGAACACCAGTCAATCTTCGTAAAGGAACTCGCTTCGCTCGGCAACGGGATATCCAACTTCTTCTCCTCGGCAATGTTTTGGCCCATGATAGTAATAAAGTGCAGGCCGTTGTCACAATTTACGGTGGCAAATCCATTGCCCTTGCCAAACGCGACACCACGAATGGCATTTCTGCCCATACGAACATTGCTAACAATGCTAAGCTGGTTGTTCCCCGGCACAGCATAGCCAATGGCTCCGGAAGCGGAGCCTACTAAAAAGGCGCTTCCGGCACTCTCCAGGCAGGCGACAGCGCCCACCTTTCCCCCGAACTCAGCCTGAAAGGTATCGCCGGTACACAGGTCAGCCACACGTATGGAAGAACCGAGGTTGCAGGCTACCAAGCTCATCTGCTTCGAATCTACCTGCGATATAACCTCAACCAAGGCTAATGACAGTGGGGATGCGTCTAGCGCCAGCGTGGAGATTACCCTTCCCTCACAGTCAGATATAGACATAACGCGGTCAGCGCCTATCATCACCAATCTATTCTGATACTCAGTCCATACCGCGTCAATGACGGCTTGCGAGTGCGTACCAACGACAGGTATGCGCTTTTTCGTCATTTGGTTAAGTATAACCGCGGTGCCCTTCTGGGTACCAATGGCAACCAAGGGTATCCTCTTAGACCAGCGAACAAACGTTAAATCTTTACATTTGGTATCCACCGCGTCGACCTGGTTAGTTTCATGTGAGTAGAGGTGAAGAGTGCTAGTACGGCTGGTGATCAAGCCTAAAGTATCACTAAATCTATTCCACTCCAAATCAACGACACTTGCAAGCGTGAACTGATGTAGTATTTTACCGCAGCGATCCAAAATGAATACCTTCCCTTTGCTCCCTGTCACGGCAACACAAGGGCGAAATGGGTGCCATTCGAACATAACATTTTCCTTGCCAAGGCTGGTAGCGGTATACTCTGATTCCATTTGAAGAGACATGATGATAACGATGTTTTTTTGATTTTGTTTCCGCCTTCAGTTGATGCCCTTTTTTCCAACAGACCCTACCCTACGGTCCAAATAAATATAAATAAACTAATGGCAAACTACGTAAATCATACTTTCATGTATGTAGAAAGAACAAATATTGGATAAGGAAAAGGGTCACATATGAAGCAGAAAAAGGATTTCCATATACCCTTCCTCTTACTTTGCTAGTCAGTAAGTCTTGGTGTGATGCAAGGCTTACCCCTACACACTTGAAAGTAGCTGAACTGAAATTTTTATCACTTTTATTTTACCTCCCACTTTACTTACAAGGGTTATAGATCAGATCAATATCAACACAATCTGAGTACGCTTGTAGCGCACTACTACGAAGATGATAATTCGCATGTTGATACTCTAATATAACTAAAAATAACGCGTGTGAGTGAAGTTACCAGATAAATAGTGCAAAAAGCCGTATAGCGTGTACGCTACAGACTGAACATAGAATGTTTTTTTTTAGGAAATATATTAGTCATGCTATAAATTTTACACGTGTAAAAAATTGTTCAGAGAGCAACACAACGAACCTAAAGGTTTTGAGCCCTATCGAGAGTTGATATGAGCTCAGCTCGATATGGAAGTACATTCAATATGAACGTTTACCGAGATGAAATGTGACACGCTTTAAAAGAGCAAAAAAGGGTCTGAACTTAAAGCAGTTATGTGCAACTGTCAATCTAGTCCTTGTTTTCTTTTTCGATTAATTTAAAATCGACTTCCTGACATCATTGATACAAAAGCTAAGATACCTAGAGTCAGATCATGAAAGTTATAACGAAAGCATCAACAGTTCTGAAAAGTGTCCGACGAGTTACACGCATGCCGCGTGCCTAGGTGAAGCGCGGTGTAGGACATCCCAAATATAATTTAACTGCTCATACGCCGCAAAAAATACCGCGTTTCCAGGAAAGGCACGCGCAACGGTGACGCCGTAACCACGATAGAATCCCCTAAAGCCCTCTTTCCGATACAGCCACGCGCAGCTCAGACGAAAGCCACGTTTGAGGTAGTCCGCCTTCATGGCTTGCTGCTTGGTTTTAACAACATCGATCGGGTAAATCGATGTCCAGAACGCGATGCCAGCGCAGCCACCAGCAAAAAAATGCACCACTGATGAGGCTTCACTAAACTTTTGATCTTCTAATAAAAGCGATCGAACAACACTTTGAAATGTCATAAAATAAAACGAACAGCCAATCGCCTCGCGGTAAAGCATAGCGACGTGCCCCCTAAATAGCCCACGAATGCCGCGCCGCATATAGGCGGCCACAAAGCATTCCAATGAGTTTTTATAAATACGCTCTTTGATAGGCAATGTGTTCTGAATCTGCATTCGGCACTTTATCAATTCTGCGGGTGTCAGCGCTTGCGCAACAACGATACCAGCGATAGATGCTGAGACCGCCACGGCGTCGTAGGACTCCGTGTCCTGCTCCACAGTGTGGCCGTAAACGAGCTGCTGGTAAACCTGTGAGGATGTGCGATAAGCGAGAAATAAAGTCGCACTCTCAATGGCAAATCCCATTACGGGCGCAGGCAGCCCACGAAAAAAACCATTCAAAATACCCTCATCCTGATAAATCATCCTTATGCATTTCCAGGCGCTACCGTAGCGCTTTCCGTCGTCCTGTAGGCGGACTTTGATCGTGTCCAAAGGATACTCAATTATCGTAGCTAGAGCGCCACCTAAGGCACTGGAGAATGCCTCACGCTTGTTGTCACTATGCATTTGATGATTATGGCGACCCGCTACTTCAGTTAAAAACGACTTATGACTACTGGCTATTCTTTCTAACCTATCTATCTTTGTGATTGAGTGCTCAGGTAATTTACCAAATGCCACTGTCTTGTGGGAAAAACCTGAATTTGAGGGAAGCAATAGTTAAGGATTCTCCCCTGTTCCTCCCCCCCCCCCCCTGTTGCTCTCAAGGGAGTAAAGGAAATAATTTATAATATGAAAGTTCGCTACCGATAGATGATGAAGGTCTGCGATGCGACTCAATTTATCCTGTTCGATCGTATTTTTCTTAGGGCCTCACTAAGCTACGCTACGGTGGGGTCGCCAAGTTTTCCTATTGTGTGTTAGAATTTGTAGAATATGGATACAAAAATATAAAAGTAAAAAGAGAAAGAGCAAAACAAATCATTTCATTGTGCGGCAGCCCTCCACGCCGTCAAGCTCTAAATCAAAAATGATATGTATTCCAATGAAAGATACACACATACAACGCGCGTAGATTTCTCCTCGTTTGACTTTGTGTCTAGATTTTCGCTTGGGTCACAAATTGACACTGGTGTTTACGTTTAGTTATACTGATCGAACCTTCCCAGAGAGTGAAGGTTGGCTAGGCTGGTCTCTTGTTAGGTCCGCATACATCTCGCGCTGTGTTTGGCTGCGATCTCCCTTCAAGACGCGCTGGAGTGCCATCGGTGGCGCGGTGCGCATGCGGTGCTGCAACCGCTTCGTGTCGCGTTCAAACCCCGCCGTGAAGAGCGACTCGGCCAGCTCCACAGGCGCGGCAAACGTAAAGGCGGGAGCCTCGTCGTCCGAAAACTCATCTTCGTCTGCGCTAGGATCGTCCTCATCGTCTACCTCGCTCTCACACAGCAGAAAGCCCGGGTAGGTGTTGTACAAGCTAATACGAGGATCTGCCGGCCGCGGTGGGGGGTCGAAGGGCGGCTCAACGTGATCTGTGAATCGATGGCACATGTCGATGACATCACCCGTTTCGATCCACGCGATGGGAAGTCGATGGATGTTTTCACCAAGGATACGGAAAAGATGCACGACGGAAGCGTCGGTGCCATCTATGGTAACGTCATCAACCTCAGAAACACCTTTCGAATCCAACCATCGATCTCTTACAATGCGCACGGCCTTTAAGATGGGCGCGAACTGCCTCGGCGAGGCGAGGCGGAAGCGACGCACGTTGCTTGCATGGGCCAAAACCTCCGTCAAAGCGTCTACATCGCCGTCGTCGAAACTATCTCGGTGGCTAATTAATTCCTTGGCCAGGAAGGCGAGCTCGGCGATCGGGCCGCGGCCCTGGAAGTCGCCCTGCAGCCCAAGCGCTATCTGGGCCGTGATGCAACCCCTGCAGTTCATGTGCCAAGCATAGTTCCGCCCCTTCACCACCTTCGAGCAAAGCGGGCACGTCATCGCCTCCCAGGTCATTTCTACCAGGCCGTCACCCTCACCCGCGGGTCGGGAGTGATCCACCAGCCGCACAATCCACTGCCCCTTCTCCAGCTCCAAGCGGAAGGTGGGACTGTGGATGGTCAAAAACGCACGCACATCACCAAACTCGGCGGTCGCCTCCTTACTCGCCAAGGTGGAGAGGCGATTCACGAGCACGTCCAACTCCACAGCGCCCCCACAGGCCGCAATAGCATCGCGAATAAAACGAACCCCCAGAGGAAAGTTCCCACGCTTTACGCCGTACTCATCACGTGGCAGTTCTGCGGGCATGTGGATGTCAGAGAAATCTGGCAACCTCGAGGATATGCTAGTGTTTCCCGTCAAAGAGGCCTCCATTGCGGAGTCGGCCTCGCAAAGGCTGTCCTGCCGTGCCTTTTTAAGGAGCTCCTCTCGCTGCCGTAGGTCCTGCTCCTCACGATTCTTTTGCATAATCTCACGCAGCCGCTTACGCCGGTTTTCGTTGTAGTTCTTAACGTGATCCGTGGGGAGAGCCTTCATGTAACCCCGTGGAGCGTCTGCATCTGGCTGAAGCTCCGGCACGAGTATTTCTACCGGCCTGGAGGGGGCGTAGCTGCTTGCGACATTCATGGCCATCTGGCTGTCCATCGTCTTAACCTGCAAGCTGTGCTTCTGAGATCCTTTGCGAGCTACGGACACCGCCTTCGTGATGAAGGCACCATTCCGTCGGAGTGCAGTGCTGTGGAGTGCAAGCGCCGTCTGGGAGCGCTCGCTGCCCGGCGCCGTCTCGGTTGAGGGCTGTGTGATGGTGCCGCCATTGCTATCAAGGGCCTTCCGATCGCCAAGCCGCATCAGCACCAGAGATATCATTGGCGATCCGAAGAGGACCTCAAAGGACCCCTTCGCGAGTGCCACAAAGTCACCCCACTCGGCGTCCTGCGGCCTCGGGGCGTAATGTGTGGCAAGGGATATCATCTTCGGCCGAAGAGCATCTAAAATTATGGAATGTTGCTTGGCAAGTCGATCGATGAAACTCCAAAGTCTAAGCTTTTGGCCCCCAATGGAGGAAGCCAGCGTATTCTCAACCGCATCGAGCACTTCAACAATTCCATCCAGGTGAGTCTCGCACTTGGACGCAATTTCAGCTAACTTGATGTCGGTCGTGTCCTTGTCGATGGCAGCGATTGCATCGCACACATCAGATATCGACATGTATATTGGAAATATTTGAAAAAATTACCAAATCAGTGATATGCTTTCTCAACGAGGTTGACCTATCTATCAAACTATATGGCTGGACGATTAAATAAAGATAAAGAAATAAATAAATTGCCCTAAATCGGGTTCAGCATATATTGAGCTTAACAATATGGACTGTTATGAGTACTCACATGTCCTGATTTAGTAAAGCTGTGATGCATCTTCTTTTTGCCCCAAGGTCTCGGCCCTATTTGCTTTTTTTTATTGGCAGATAAACGACTTCGAATTACACGAAGATGTTTATCGTCATCACCTTACCGTGTTATGATGAGTGGGGCTCAGATAAAGAGCCCATCTTTAGATTCATAAATATCCCGCAAAACACGACATCGAGTAGAACAAAAAAAATGTAATTGGTAATGGTGACTTGGTTCATTGTTCTGAATAAGGTGAGAAGACCGGCGTCCAAGATAGTGGGGCCAAATGGTGGATAATTACCTGCCTTCTTCACTCAACCCACACGTGTCCTCGCTTAAAAGGCGATATGCACCTTTTAGAAGGCTGCTAGCTGAGCGAACTTGTCGATTCGCTATGCCCTCTTTCGTCGCACACCATCGTTGCTGACTAAGCAAACGAAAGGTATTGAATAACATTACTGAGCAAATACAAGAGATTAATGGGGTTCTTCAACAAAACAAATATACCTCTAACAGTACGTAGATTCCTTCGCTTATATTTATTCATGCTAACTATTCCTCCACCACCCTCCACAAAATCGGTGTATTAGAACGTGCAAGTATATTTAAACATTTCATTCCCTCTTGTGTCCACAACAGTAATATTTTCGGATAAAATGATATACCTTGAAAGCTTGTGTAGAGAGTGTTATTGTCGTTTCTTCCGACCTCGAATCACACCATCCCATCTCCACCCAGGCGAAATTCCATAGGGGTTAGAATAGCGACCATATGTCAGGGAAACGCCGTCTGGAGCAGTATTGGCCCCCACCGCGTTCCCTCCCCCGATACCTGAAAGTAGAGGAACCTCAGCCAAAGATGCGTTAAAAGTCATATACTGAGCCAACAGTTTATCATCCATCGGTTTATTGCCCTGGAAATAGGTAAGTGGTACGTAGTACGCCGCCAGCAACGCATCCGAGAGAAGCCCTATCCATTCAGAGGGAATGTCAACATCATCATCAACCTGGGAACATCTGAATCGCTCGAAGTAGTTTTTCTCGGTTGTGGAAACACTTCCGAGCGGGTCCTCCGCTGAAGGCTTTACGTAGGGCGGGAGATCCTGCGATATCTCACCGCTGCTTCCATCCAAGGAATTTACGGAGGTAGATGATGAGGAAAGTGCTAATCCCATCTCGTGCATTACGTTGTGGAAGCCCGTTGTGGCAGCGAACAGCTCCAGGCGCTCCTCCCTTTCTATCCCAGACGCGACGTACTCATCCTGGTCGTCTTCACTATCTAATCTTCTCCGCTTCATGTCAGATTATTAATAAGTATGATATGGATGAATGGTAAATTTTTGAGGAAAGGAGTTACTGTTTCTTTCCTACCATTATCAGAGCTTTCACCTAGCAAACGCACCAACAAAGAGGGGTAGAAAAATCGTGAAGAGAGAGGATAGTTGAAAAATCGACCATAAGGAAGGCAATCCCACGATATGAAAGCTCCTTTGAGCTCCTTTTTTTCTCATATTGAAATAGGTATGTAGTCGTAAATGTTACGAATCAAACTGAAAAGCTCCGTCAAGCTTGAGGCGTGTAAAAAAAAAATGGATGGCATAATCGAGTATCTTTTACTTGAAACAATTATTGTCCCTTTCGCCTCAAAAGAAGGCCATTTCCCTCGGTGATAAATTCCCATTTCTTACCTCTCCACAGGCTGTTGAAAATGAAAATAAACCCTATCACCACCCTCAGGCTCTTCAATGGGGGTTGAAAAAGTGTCGTTAAATTGTTGCTTAGTCTGAGTCTCCATTACTAGAATATTAGCTTCACTTGGATTAGAAAGGTGCTACAATACACCCTCCACATCTAACCGGCGAACACTATATTCCCTGTGTGTTCAGAACTCAGCGATGTGGATCATCCCAGTTCGTACTGGATCCTGCTGCCGCTGTCCCGCCCTCCAAATGTCGGGCACAATGGTCGTTTCGATCGATTTGAAGCATTTCCCGAACCAATTATCTTTAGCATCCGCTGAGCCCTTATTGAGAAGCACGCAAAAACGCTGACAGAGACAAATGGAATATCCTACAACCGCTGCCACTCTGACCTGTCTCACACGGACCATAAAATCCCGAACTTCCTCGTCTTGCTCAAGCGAGACATAATCCCCCACCCCTAACTAAAATATGACAAGGAGGTACATAAATGAAAATAATCCAACTTTTAAAAATATTACATCGCATATGTGCACAACTCGGACGATGCTATCGTCGTGAGGGTGAAACAGAGTATTATAAAAGGACATTTTCTCCATAGAGCAACCATTGGAACAAGTTTTATTTACATCAGTTAGAGCAGCAAAACACAAGTGAGGACAAACCGAGTCATTCTACAGCCGTTCTTGTATTGCCGTTGCTGCCCTGCGCACACACACACAAATACACCTCTTTGCGCACAACAACGGCGATTAGTTGACGCTATACACACACATTCACAAAAAGGAGAGTCACCTGCATCTAACTTGTTTTCCAGAGGAGCACCGAGAGCTGCCCGATGTTGAAAAAGATAAAGTGCTTACTTTCGTACGCTATATCGGCACCGAAGGTACGCCCTACAATACATTGCCAAGTGGGATGGTACCGCTTGTCAAACTCACGTTTGATCCGAGCAGCGATATCTTTTTCCATTTGATGCTCCTTGGCAGCCTTTATGGCAACCTCCAAGGCGTCGGTCTGCATTTCGATGCTAATATCGCTTTCCTTGACATTAGATTTGTGGTCTGTCATGTTCTTTTCGGATCTTGCGGATGTAATGGGACGATCTTCTTTCCAATTATAAGGGGCTGGTCTGTTTAACCAGGAAAGGCTTGCTCAAAAGTTTGATCGTGATCGAATTTATGTATTGCAACACCTTGAAGTTAACTCTGAAATGCGAAGAGTATGATAAGTATGGAGTAATAGGAATCATAATAAAAATACGAGCTAGAACATAGTGTGTGCGGTATCCAGAATGCGTAAACGTGAAATACTAAACATGAGTCTTCACATATCAGCTTAACAACACATGCATAGCCCTTAACGTCTAAATCGTTAGGATCCCATCAAAAGTTACTTGTGAAACCACAACTCGAAATACCCTTCATATTTGTCCATAGTAGACAACTTTTGTGATTTTTTCCTTCGCCATCTAATGTTTCTCCACTCCTAGTTCTCGAGCCAGAAGGACGATCTCTAGACTATTTTCGCCAAATGCGGATAGAGATTAAACAGAAAAAACAATAAAACAGAACTGCCGCACATGCTCCTCTCTCTCGCCTTTTCTATCGCTTTGATTCTCCCTTTTAAATTTCTGAGTTGTCAATATTATCCCCATCATCAGTGGCGGGGTGACATTCCAAGTTGACCTCTGCGTCGGCAGGCGGAGATGGGGGCGGCTTCTCGTTGACCTCCGTGGAATCTGAGTTTGGGATGCCCGTCTCCTCGCCTCTTGCCGCGGCTTCACTTTCTACAGAATGCTCAGCCGGCGGAGGATCGTCCTGAGCAGGGGGGGATCCCCCCTCTACCAAGGCCACAGCGGCTTGCGTTTCCTCGGGTGCCGTCCTCCCCCCCCCTACGTCTGGCGAGCCCAACCTGGATTTAAGCTGTTTATTCTCCTCCAGTAATCGACTTTGCCGCTCCATCAGGGTCTTCGAGATGGACAAAATGCGGTGTTTGGCCTCCTCCGCCTTCGCCATGCCATCCTCGGCGGCTTGCAGGCGTTGCCGCACCTGCTCCTTCTCCGCCTTCAGCACGTTCAGCTCCGCTTCTAGGGCGGCGCGACGCTCCCGCTCCGCGAGGAGGGCCCCCTCCGACGACGAAACCCCCGGGCGGAGCAGCGCCGCGAGCCCCGCCGCGTGGCGAAGCATGCCGTCCTCGAGTCCCTCCTGCAGCCCTTTCGCCCGCACCATCGCGGCGTGGAGGAGCTCCACCACCTGCCCGAATCCCCCTCGCGCGATCCGCTCCGCGAGGTGCTCCGGCGAAGGGCAGAGCGAGGCCTCAGGAGGGACCCCCTGCCCCCGACGCCGCGCGTTGAGCTCCACGGCGGCGCGTTCGATCCCCGCGAGCTGCACAGAAACGCGCTGGAGGAGCTCCGAAAGAGGCGGCGGCCGCGGGGGCGCGTCCGCGTCCAGCGAGGCTCCCTCCCCCTCCCCCTCCCCTGTTTCGTTCGAGGGGGATCCGACCGGGGCGTACGCGGCAAGCGCGGCGACTTGGCTTTGGAGCGAGATACTCCGCTTGAGCAGCTCCTTCTCACGCGCGAGACTCTGCTGAAGGGCGTCGTCGGTTCGCTGCAGCTGCTGCGCGGTGATCTCACCCCCTTTGCGCAGCCGCCTCACCTCCCCTTCGAGATCCTCCTTGGTCTTCTTCAGATCCTCGATTTCTTTCATCCCCCACTTGTGGAGCTGCGCCGCGACGTCGAGCTGATCCCGCAGAAGCGCGATCTGCTCTGCGGCCTCCGCCGCACTCAACGAATCCTCGAGGGGCACCTCATGGAGCATGGCATTCTCCAGCACCGTCAGCCGGTTCTGCTCGATGAGGTTCAGGCTTTTCGTGAGCTTCTGCAAGAGCCGGTCGCGATCCCGCGTGAGATGGTGCAGCTTCGAACGCAGCTCATTCACAAGCTCCGCGTCTGAGAGGGAGGCGTCCAGCAACCGCGCGCACTGCGTATCGCCGCTCTCCAGATGCGACGCCACAAACTGAAGGGCACTCTGGAGCACCCGAAGAAGAAGCTCATTCTTGTCTTCGGCACACCAGGAGCTGAGGCATGGCTCCTGCAGAGCGGCATCCCCCTTGTCTTTAGCCACAAGGCTGCTCCCTTCGCGAGGTCCGATGACGCTGGGGGTGCTATCGGGCCACAACACCTCTTGAAAGCCCTGGAAGAGGTCCTGTATCTGCTTCTGAAAAAGCTCGAGCGACCTAGACTGCTCCACAGTGAGGTTTCCACTCACCAACTCAAGCTCCCCAACCTTGCTCTCCATCTCGGCATTCTCGTCCTTCAGGGCCTTCCCCGCCGCCCGAAGGGACTCAAGTCCGGCCAGGGGAGCCTTGGAAAGCTCCTTCAGCCGATCGCGGTTCCGCTTCTCACGGAGGTCCAGCTCCGTATGGTTGGCGCTCGCCTGCGTGAAGGCCTCCTGCAGCTCCGTCACCGTCTCATGAAGCTTCTCGACGGTCTCGGCGAGGATGCCACGCTGGGTTTCGGCCTCGATGAAGCGCTCGCGCAGTTCCCGGGTGTTCTCCTCGTAGACCCGCTCGAGCTCCGCGAGGGTTCGCCCCACCTCGTCGGCCTGGGCATCCTTCTGGAGCTGCGCATTCTTCTGTCGGAGCGCCTCAATCTCGGCTTTCGCCTCCTCGAGCTCCCCTCGCGTGAGCTTGAGGGAGACTGCGAGCTGCGCTGCGTCGTCCGCGACCTGCGTGTAGCTCTGACGAAGACGGCTGAGCTCCGCCGTCGCGGCCGCCCCGCTGCCGGGCGCCACGCGCTCCCGCACCATCGCCTCCACCCGGCGCTCCGCCTTTTCCCGCCACTGCCGCTCCTCGAGGAACCCCTCCCGGGCGAC